TTGTTTATGCGGCCCGTGCTAGACTGAATTTGACATGCTTGCTGTACAGCTTTAATGCAATTGGTTTAGATGAAATGACCTGTTCTGGGATTGATTTAAAGGGATATTCGAAACACCAAGACAAGATTATCTTAAAGGAACACTATAGCATTAGAAATACAAATGTGTATTCCTGATGCCATAGTCTCCTAACTGCTTAGGTGTCTGTAGGCCCGTGTCTTAAAAAAAATAAATGAGTGTGAACTTACTTTTTAACACTCGCTGCGCTGCTCGTCCTTCCTCCTTGGGTGAGATCAACAATATTGATGATCTCGGCCAATCCTTTGCTTCTCCAAAGGAAGCATTAGAAAGTTGGTACATATTGCTGTGCTTTTTGACAAGCTTCTAAGAGAAGCATTTGATTGAGAACAGAGTTTGACTCTATTGTCAAATTCAGACTTTTTGGAAGTGCTTTAGAATCTCAGGGCATGGACAATTATGAATGGAGCTGGCCAGTGCCGTTGTCGGTGAGGTTATTTGTGGCACAAATTGGAATCACATTGGAGGACAGCAAACACAAAACATTGAAAAGAGAGAGAGAGAGCGAGAGCTTTTAAACTAGCTAAAATTGTCCAAAGTTAATGGAATCACAAAAAGTAAACATTGTGTGCTGAAACCTTTGCAATCAGCAGTAAATATTCAATGTTAAAGTAATATGCAACACACACACACACACATATATATATATATATATATATATATATGCTGTCCTGAGGAAAGTCCCAACCTGGGACTGAAATGTTGACAATTTATGGCATCTACATTCTTCTTTTAATGTAAGAAATAAAAAAGTTATATTTTAATTGTAGACTGAGAGTGCGGATCATCACTTGGAATACAATGGTATATGGATGACCTGGATCTGGCACCCAGCATGTAAGCCATTGAAATATTCAGTCTGCAGTGCAAGGATCTGTTGGATATATATATATACAGATACATACATACACACACACACACACACACTTTTTTTTGTGCACAGTTCACCAAAAAGTGCTGAGTTACTTGAGACAAGCAAGCGCCAAGCTGGGACTGTCCAGCCTGATCTAAGACACTTGGCAGTTGCATTTATTTTCCCTTTCACAGTCACATAGATATTTATGTAGCTAAACAAAACAATACATTTGGAAACACATTACACCTATTTATCAAGTAATATATTAAATAAAAACATGATGTTTGATACCTGTCAGCAAAACTGAGCAGCTACATCAGAGAATATTAATTGGGACAGCTAGCCTATGGCACCCCACCAATTGTGGACTACAGCTCCCATGATGCTGATCCAGCCTTTGTTGTGATTGAACATTACATGGTAAAGGTGGTATATCAGTAAAAATCACATACATGAATCCTAACAGGCAAATATACTGGAGCAAAATGAAATATGACTACATAATTATATTCTGCCCCACAAGTGCCCCTTCTCCTCCCTCTGTGTAAAATCCCCCACCCCCCAATAAATGGCTACTAAAGTGGCTAGTAAAAGTTGTCCCTTCCTTAGCCCCCTCTTTAAAGCACCCTAGCACTTACCCCATGCCGACATGCATTCTATCTGGAGGGGCAGCTTTGTTACGATCGCAGCTGGCTCGAAAGCGTCATGCATGGTTACTGCGGCCTACTACCCCCGCCTAGCCTCGGGCTTTCCTGAAATAATGGCCGACCGCCACGACCAAGAGACCGGCGAGTGAGGCTAAGGCGAGACCGGGGCGTTCGAAGGTCCACCGGTAGGCAGGCGAGCAGGGGCACCCCGGTATAGGGCAGCCTGGGTAGCTGCTTCTTCCTGATTCGGAGCCCCTCCCTGCTTCTCAATCCCGCCCTGTGGGAAGGCCATGGAAGAGCTTAATTTACAAAAGTGATAGTTTTTACTTGATGTACATTATGTGGCTGAGATTAGTGTGAATTGTAGTAGTTATGGTAAACTGATATCTAATCATTCATCTCAGCTCAGCCCACTCTGGGGGTTTATTAGCTAAACTGCGCACTGAAAACATAATATTTTTCAAACCATGCTGCAGTGGTTATGGTGCTTGGCTAAGTGGTTATGGATGCAATCCTAGCATCAATCATAACTATAACAGCAAGCTTTTTTTCTTCTTCTACGAAAATGTTGTAAACATTCCTCATTCTAGGAATATTAAAAAAAACTACACCATCAGTAAATCATCTACCACATATAACCATTATGAGGTAATCAATTGGAAAAACCTTTGAGAAGTAGATAAGTTAATTTAGGAGATATCTGCTCTGGTTGCAGTTATGCGCCAACCTTCCAGAGAATATGTGGATTTATACGCTCTAGTTCCAATATTAATTCCCAACTTTAATCGTTTGTGGACTTTGTTACCCATCATCAAGAAGTAACTGTTAAAGTTAGTCCAACCACCATGGCAACTTTTGCTTTTTTTTTTAGCAAGTTGCACCCACCCCTGGCACATGTGACTTAGACAGCCCAGAACTCTGTTCCAGGCGGCCTGTCAATTCTGCACATAAAAATGTCTGTCATTAGCACGTAGTGCATGCTAGCAACAGACAGAGCCTGCAAGAAATAAGCTTGTCTCTCCTCCCTAACCTTTCCGCAATTTTAACATTTTATTTATTTTTTTTAAATCCCCATACTCCTCCCTGCTTCTTTTCCGTCTTTCACCGGCTCGAAGTGCATGCATGCCCAGAGCTGGTAAAAAGGTCCATTCAAAGGCTTCTGTATGAAAAGATTAAGTGCGGCTCCCATGCCGTCATATGGGAGTGCGCTGACCAGCGATGTTACATTAACGTAAGTAAAACTTATTTTACAAAAGCTCTTGGAGCATTTTCTGAGGTGAGGGTGTATTTGAATAATGCCATGTACCATTATGTAGGGAAAAAAATAAATAAATATGTTTACATCTGATGAATGTCCCAGTTTTTCAGATTGCTGATGTGTCTTCTGTAGTAGATGTCTACTGCCCTGTTTCCACTGAGCAGTACGGTTTGGGTCAGTACGGTCTGGTACAATTTTGAGTGTTTCAATTAGGAAAGTGACCCATACAACCAAACCAAACTGCACCATTGCTGGGCCCCTTCAGATGTAGGTCCATAGGAAATGGTACAGTACTGTTAGGGCGGAGCTACTGGCGTCACACTATACAATCCATTGATTGGCGGACTGAAAAAATGTCAATGCTCATGACAAATGACACGCTAGGCATTTGGACTAAATCCTGCATGCCCCCTGGCGGTCCAACTTGCAGTGGAAATGCTCACATGAATAGGCTGGACCATTCTAACCCTTCCGAACCATAACGCTCAGTGGAAACGAAGCATAAGATTGCTCAGCAATTCTTTACCTATCCATAATTAGTAAGCAGGCATATGTATGTGAAAAAGCTATTTGCTCACTAATTTTTCACAATAAAACTAACAAAGCTGCTAGAATCATCTCACTTATTGAAATAAACCAATTAGAATCACACAAGTATTTTAAACCCTGCACCAAAGCATTTCCAATTCAGGTTTTCAGTAGATTAGACGTCACTAGTTGCATTGTGCATGAAACATTGATTGAAAATGAGAGCAGGCACTTAAAGGATAGGGTCAGCTGATCAGAATTCCAAGATACTTGGGTAGAAGTAAATCCCATGTGTTTCTTGATCTCTCGTTTTTAATGACAGAAGAGGGCACATCACACATGCTAAGCACGTTATTTAGCCAAGAGCATTAATGTCTACTAAAGATGACCAAATGCATGTATTAGTCTTATAGCATATTTGCTTCTTTTATATACCCTTTATTAACTATACTTTAGATTTTATTGCAAAAGTACATTTCTCTACATGAAACCTTGACTGTACAATATGAAAATGACCCACACTTTTTCTTAAAAGAACACTATAGTGCCAGAAATACAAACATGTATTCTTGACACAAAAGGTCTAAAAAGCCATTTAGGTCCCAGTATCCCCCCCTGGAAAAAAAAGCAGTTTAGGTAACCCATACCTCTGGTTAAAAAGTCACCTTTTTTCAGCGCCACGTGAGTCCGGTTGCATCTGGCCTTGCCCACACTCCGCCCCCTTAGCTGAGATCGTCACACTTGATGCTCTCAGCCTATCCAATGCTCTCCCATAGGAAAGCATTGGGAGGCTATCGTGAATGTGCAGCAAAATGCTGCACTGCGCCAAGCTGAACATGAGTGGTGCACGTGACGGCCACCAGAGGTGTCCCTAGGCGGCAGTGTTCACATTAAAAAGCCTGCACAACAGGCAGTAGAAACAAGAACAACTACATTAAGTTGTAGTTGTTCTGGTGACTAGAGTGTCCCTTTAATAATCAGCAAGGCTTAACATTTTAATTCCTATGCTACTAGCCAGGCCTTAAGTTACTTTTCAGGGTGCATGGCACACTTACCAGGGGTGTATATCTACTCACCAGGCCTAAATTTGTAACTTGCCAATTTCTATTGGCAAAAGGAAATTCTGAGCCTTGGATATTGCCTTACAAAATTCAAAAAAATAAATAAAAATAAAAGGTTCTATCCCTGAAAGTTTCTTGTCGATGCAAAGTTTAGTGATGCTGGCTGCAGGCACCCAACTTCCTCACCAAAAAGAGAGGAGCATTTCATTCTGGTCTATAGATTCTGTTATTTTATAAACTCCTGTGAAGATGATGATTATGTGGCAAGTAGTTTGCCACCAACAGCTGTACCACTCATCAAGAGGAAGTCTTTTAATAGCAGCCATATTGCAACTTCTATCACTCTACGCACAGCCTGGTTCATGGTTTAATGAACTGGGCTGCATACAATGATCACAAAGCTGTCTTTTGGACAATCATACAAAGTTGTGATGGTACTTAACCCCTTAAGGACACATGACATGTGTGACATGTCATGATTCCCTTTTATTTCAGAAGTTTGGTCCTTAAGGGGTTAAACTGACTCTTAAAACATTAAGTAAGGAAAGGATCACAAGTAAAGGATAAAAATGTTAGTCTTTCATAAGTGTCTGTTTTATTTACCATCTTTGTAAACAGGCAAATAAATAAAGGAAGAGAGAAATATTTTTTTTCCTGGGTTTTATATTTATAAAAATGACAAAGACTTAGAAAGCACAAAACATGTCAAACAGTAAATAAAATTAAAATAAAATCCATGTTTAAGCTAGATGTACAAAGAATGTGTAGCCCAGTCTCTTAAATTATTGGTTTTCCATCACCTTGCAGAAGTTAAACATGACTCAAATTGAGAACGTCTTCTGTAGTTTAGTTAGCATTTAGTGGTTACTTTTTTCCGTGAATATTGTGGATTTTCCAGTTATCTTTTTATATATCTTTTTGTTGACCTATGAAGTAGCAGTAAGAAGTGATCTCAGCGCAGTTTCCAAACAGAACTCTTCCAGATGGAATTCACTTGAAGTTCTCAACAAGCTTTCTGTCAATATGTCTTCATTATGCTGACATAAAAGCTTAATTCTTTGATATACACTCAAAGTGTTCAGATTACCTTTTCACAGTTTCAAATGAGGACCTCTGTGTTTGATGCTAGTTTTTGTTAAAATGCACATTACAAAGGCAAACCAAAACGTTAAGTGTGTATTTCGTACACAAAATGAGCCAGAACAAAGCACACAAAATGGTTATTTATCCACCTCGCCTTTCACCTTAATCACAAAACCATGTAACTAGCAGAGAATGCAAACTGAATGCATCAAGTCTCCTGCTGAACATTGTTAATTTAAACATGTAAACCCTAAAGTGCAGAAGCAAGGATAAACTCTCCGCTCACCAGCTGGGGGCGCAATGCCACCCACTTTCCCTTGGCGCTCAAAGAACATACTGTAGATTCTGTCTTGGAAACATGTTCAATAATGGGCAGTGTGGATAAAATGCTTCTTTGTATCGCGCTTACAGTCCTTGAGAGCAAAACAGAATTTGGGGGGAGAGCAATGTAAATCAGTTCTTATTGTAAAGGGGGAATAAATTAATCCAAAGGACTGCTGGTCCTCCTCCATCTCGCAGTGGGGTCACGGACCTAAAAAATCCATTATTCTGGACCATCTCAAGGGAGAGAGCACGCAGTCCATTTTTTCACCTGCAAATCTTTTTTTTCATTCCATTTTTGACCTTTCAAAGTGTGTGATCATGCGCTCCTGTATAAGAAAGGTTAAAAAAATATATATAAATATACAAACTTTTATTAAAAAAATAAATAAATGTAAGTTTTAGAAATGGGCCACACCCTTCCAAAATCGAGATCAGCTACTGTAAGCTGGTATACTAGCCATTTTTAACATTTAATAAAGAACTGCGCAAATTCCATTGACTGGTGTTAACCATTCTTCCCATGTATAAAGTAAACTGCCTCTACACTTGAATATATCTCCATCATCTGGCATCATTAGTGCTGCCTTGCACACCTTAATACCGATATATGTAGGGCCTCAAAAATATATATTTATTTTAGAATGGCAGTGATTGATGTATATTCCAGACACCAAGATTTGCCTTACAGAACAAGATTATATGCTTTGATTATCTGATCTTCATAGTGTGCAAGGTACAATTGTCAACAAATGCTTATATTGTTTAAGATTTGTCTTTCATCAAGGGCTAAATACTGCATATATTTGCTTTTTTGAAGTCATTTTTGTATAAAGAATATTTTCTTTTCCATTACAATACCTGTGATCATGATCTGGTACTCATGTATGAATGATTATTTTTGCAACATTTTGATCTTACTCTAATTTGCAAACTTTAGTTACTGCTCCTGTATGAATCGCATCTGAACAATATTTTAATGTGACTAACACAACCTAGGAAAAGTGAGAGGGGAAAAAAAATCTCAAACAAATTGAAGGCACCTAAAGAAAATGTATTACATCCTAATTTTAAGCATACTAACCCCTCTGAGAATTGGCAGGAGCCACAGAGTTAATATGTAGCATTGTGTATTCTATTTCCTTTCTACAGCAACAGCCAGAGTGACTTAGACACAGCACATGACCCTGTGTCATGAGATTGGTTTGGCAGCTAAAAGTAAATTGAAAAAGGAAGATACTGACCTCATCTGAATCGAGCAATGCAGGGAGAGCCCTGTAACACAAGAGACAGAAGTTATTGATATAGCAATTGCTGTTCCCTCTTTAGGCACAATAAATAAAACCAGATTGCCTGCTCAGTGGACAGCTCTGCTACTGATCTGTATCATGTGAAGGGCTACAGAGAGAGTGCTTCCCTTACATGAGACTCCCTTCTTTTCCTGTATTGACTCCCACGATTTTTATGTAAGTCCTGGTTTCCTTGTACTGCCCTGGATTAGGGCTCCATACTGCACAGAACTGATCTGTGTGTTATTTCCCATATTATATATATATATATAAAAAAAACAAAAACTGTCAAAAACCTGCACTCCACAATCCAAACTGTATTTTGCCCTGTGCTCGTCAGCAAAGGACAATTGGGTAGCACTGGGGACTTTTCAAGGAAAGATAGAACACTCTGTTCCTATACTTACTAGCCTGCGAGTTACCATAGCAACCACAACACATGCGCTGTCATTGCTATGGGTGGAGAGCCGAGGGGCCTCCTGTGGGAGTTCTCTTCTGCTCTCACTGTCTCTCAAGTCCTCAGCATTGAGTGTCCGCTGAACAATTCAGACACAAACTTTTTTTTTTTTTTTATTATAGTTTTTCTCCAAATCTATACACTTGCTAGAAAAACTGTTGGTAAAAAGACTGGACACCACCACTGCATATTTCCCACAGCAAAACCAAAACACTAGTGTATTACAGTAAGCACAACTTGTACAATTATTTCTGCAAAAACATGGTTTTCTACCCTTTTCATCTGTATTGGCTTTGTAAGCACAGGAGCAATCGAGAACATCAGAATATTTATACTGAATGCTTTCCTATATAAGACACAGAGCATTAGTTCATTTTCTTTTTGCCATTCATGAGATCTATTTCATTAAGGTTTCACTTTCGCCTTCTTGATCCTCCTTCTAAAACATTGCCCTTATAGCCCTTCTTTTCTAAACTTGAGAAACGGCATTCCTTTGTTTGATATCCTGTCGGTGTAATCTATTTTCTGTTTTGTTTTTGCAGTTCCGTTCACTTTCAGCTTGTAAAGACTAGACTAAGTCTGTAGGAATTCAGAATAAGCTACATCTAATGCCTGAGAATTTACATCACTTGTGTAGATGACCCAATCCTTCTTCCCACCAATGCAAATTGAGGAGCTTTTCCTGCCAGCACTATTCTGTCTTTGTAGATGATCTTTGTAGCACATAGAACAGAGACCATTGGTATGTAAATAACCATAGAAGCTACAGTGAGGAAAATAAAGACAAGGTACTTGGCTGCCATTAGTGTTGTTTGACACGTTAGTCTTCTTTTCCACAGCCATGCACCTCATGATTTGTGTTGGAGGAAATGTTGCCCAGACTTGTGATACTATCAAGGTTTTTCCCTAAAGTGAGAATTGAAAGTGAATTTCAAATTTAAGGTCAAAGTAGCCAAATTTGGAAAATTCTCCAAGTCAGCTATGTGTTCAGTTCCGCTACTTTGTCCTTAAATTGTAAATTCACTTTGAATTCTCACTTTAGGGAATAATCTTGATCTACTAACCCTGTAGATCAAGCATGTCAAACTCGCAGCCCGCTGGCTGCATGGGGCTCACAAGGACCATCTTTGCAGCCTGTTTAGCCGCGAGTACATGTTGGTGTTATAGCAGAGTAGGCACCTGCTTTCTCCATATTGCAGGTGCCTACTCTGCTAACACTTTCCCGGGGAGGAAGGGACGGAGGATACAGCGAGGGAGCTCAGCGTTCCTGCTCCTCACTGCTCCCTCCCGGGCGCCAGAATATGACTTCATATTCCGGCACCCGGTATCACTTATCCGCGCGAGGGAGCAGTGAGGATCAGGAAGGCGTGCAGGAAGGAGATCTCCAGACAGAAGATCCCCACACCAGCTCCTAAAGGTGTCTGTCAGTGTGTGTGTGTGTGTGTCAGTGAGTATCTGTGTGCCTGTCAGTGTGTGTGTCTGTCAGTGTGTCCTTATGTGTGTGTGTCTGTCAGTGTGTCCTTATGTGTGTGTGCCTGTCAGTGTGTCCTGTCAGTGTGTCCTTATGTGTGTGTGCGCCTGTCAGTGTGTCCTTATGTGTGTGTGCGCCTGTCAGTGTGTCCTTATGTGTGTGTGCGCCTGTCAGTGTGTCCTTATGTGTGTGTGCGCCTGTCAGTGTGTCCTTATGTGTGTGTGCGCCTGTCAGTGTGTCCTTATGTGTGTGCGCGCCTGTCAGTGTGTCCTTATGTGTGTGCGCGCCTGTCAGTGTGTCCTTATGTGTGTGTGCGCCTGTCAGTGAGTATGTGTGTCTGCGTGTCTGTCAGCGCCTGTGCGTGTCTGTCAGCGCCTGTGCGTGTCTGTCAGCGCCTGTGCGTGTCTGTCAGCGCCTGTGCGTGTCTGTCAGCGCCTGTGCGTGTCTGTCAGCGCCTGTGCGTGTCTGTCAGCGCCTGTGCGTGTCTGTCAGCGCGTGTGCGTGTCTGTCAGCGAGTGTGCGTGTCTGTCAGCGAGTGTGCGTGTCAGTCAGCGAGAGGATCAGATTTGGTACAGGGTGGTAGAGGGGGGTGCTGTGGTTTAGTAGAGGGGGATTCTGTTTTTTTTTTTTTTTATACTGTACTTTTAAAAAGAAACCTACATTTCTATGAAAATTTAAGGTATTTTTTTTTGCGGCCCACATAAACTTAAACCATGTTTATGTGGCCTGTGCCAGGCTTGAGTTTGACATGCTTGCTGTAGATTTTCTACTTGTGATCTACTTGAAAAGAAAACTGTCATTAAATTTGAAATTTCATTGTATGTTATGACAGATAAAATTATATTTTATGAGGTGCGGCCTTCAATTGCAGTTTAGAAAAGAGTTAAAGAAAACATCACCGAGCAATAACTGGGGGGGAAAAAACAAAACAAAAAGAATAATGAATTAATAAATACATGTAGGTTATCCTTGTCACTAAGAGGTTGTTGTTTTTTTGTCAAGCAAAACAACGCTACAAGTTACGCCATGGTTTATCTTGTGTGATATACCCTCTTATAGGCATAATCTTCTGCAAAGAATTCTTTCTCTGGATTAATACTGGACACCCAACACAAGAGACCTGTAGTGTCCAGAGAAATACTCACACATCAGTTACAGAAGATGGGATGTTTTCTTCTACCCACTTCAGATCTTCCTCCTGCCAGAGACAGCATTTGTTAAAATAATTGGCAGTGGCAAGTACGTTTAAAGGCCTTGCTTGTGGCCTAGGATTTGGAATTGAAGCCCTGTATACATTTACATATTATATCCAGATTGCACACATATACAAACATGCGGCCAACTTGTACATCAGATATAGAACCAGGATGGCAAACAGGTCCCACTCAGAATACAAATTTAACAGAAAAGAAATTGTAAATAATCAATAAAACTAACAATGGGTGTGTTACACATTCATTTCATGCTCTGTTTTAGTTTTTGAAAGTTTGAGAAAATCATTTTAAGGGTAAAAGCATTACATATACACATACAGGGCTGCTTACATATATACAGGCCTGCTACTCCTAATCCACATTTGCCCTTGATCATGTAATTTCCCCAGTAACAAACACTGCACCTTTCAGTGTTCATACTTACGGCTTTTGTTGCTTTAGGGTTTCCATTTGTTTCTTGCTTTGAGCTTCTCATTTTCATACCCTCTATGGGAAGAAAGAAATTTGATAAAAACTGACACATTTTAAATTATGAAAACACAAATTTAAAATATGGGGCTGCAGCAGTGCAGTTAAAGAAACACTCCAAGCATTATAACCTTTACAGCCCCCTCCCATTGGATGTAGTCCAATAGTTTTACTACAATTTGAGCTCTTATGACACAGTTTCCTGTTTCTATCAAGAACAACTGACATCCAGAAGCTCCCATCACCTTTCCTGAGCTAAATCAACATAGGCTGATCACTTTCAGCCAATGAGCTAGGTACGGAACTAAAGGGCTTAGCTCAGACCAAGAGCCTACTCTATATTGTTAGTAGTAGAGAGGCGGACTGCAGGTAGAAGTCAAACCATTCTAAAATAGTCTACTTATAATTGAATGGCACCAACGTACCATAACCAATACAGCAGGTTGTAGTGGTCATGGTGCTTGGAGTGTTCTTTAATATTTCAAAATATTCAAAGCATAGCTTCTTGTATTAGAGGTCACTAATGGCCATATTAATGTGTATCAATCTATGTAAATGTCATCGTAACCAATAATGGACACCATGTCTAACATCTCTTCATAACTACATGGCTAAATATGGACAAAAATGAGCCATTGCTACAACTATAATTTGAAGTACTTTTTGCTATGTGAAATAAACCGATGGAGAGATATTGGGATTATACGTATGAGATGTGGTGGCTCCCAATGTCTATTAAGATTATATGTAGAAGATGTGGCTCCTGATTTTATGTAGAAAATCTGGTGGCTCGTGGTGTCTTGACTGCAAGTTCCTACCAAAACTTTCTTTTAGCATTGGCTCCTTCTGTTCATCATCTTCATCTTCCTCTGTTAGTGGAGAAAAGGCAAACCTGGAAAGAGATACGAATGATAGTTACCTCACTCTCCAAAGGTTAGACTGAACAACTAGTATAATACGTTTTCTTATCAGTGAGCAAATGTAACCTACAAACACTAACCACTACAGTTACCAAGCAAGTTATAGTAATATGGATTATGGATTCTCAATTACTGCAAAAACCCTAGTATCCCATCATTGTTAAATTAAACACTTTTTTGTACATTTCTTTTTTTTGTAGCACATAAAGGCATTTGTCTTGCTTCTTCAGATATGAAAGTTATTTAGGATTTTGCAATTTGGTATTTCTCATGAGGATACCATTTAACTTTTCAGCCAGCTTTAACAAACAGAATAAATATAACTATATGCTTGGGGGGAGGACGGAGGAACCATACAACAAAGGTAGTAATAAAAGATTTAATAGCCATTTTTACTCACAGGTAAGTGTTTCTAAAGGCTTAAAGGGACACTGTAGGCACCAAAGCCACTTCATCTCATTGAAGTGGTCTGGGTGCACTGTTCCAGTCCCCTTAACCCTGCAGCTGAAATCATTGCAGTTTTAGAGTAACTGCAATGTTGCCATTCCAGGGATAAGACTGCCTCTAGTGGCTGTCTTCTAGACAGTCACTAAAGGCACTTCCTGCAACTCTGTGAAACAACACTGTACATTTAGCATATTTTAAATGCCCATAAGAAAGCATTGATTTGTTGCTTTCCTGTGGGGAAGGCTTAACGAGAGAGTGGCACTTTCCCCCCCTGTGCGATGATGTTGAAGGAGGCGAAGACAGAGTCAGCGCCAAGAGACCTCTGCGCTGGTATAAGGGAAGTAAAAAAAGAGGGGGGATGGGGGGATTTTTTGATAACTGTGAGGTGGGAACAGATGGACACAAAAGCGTAAGGATCTATTATTGGCATCACAGGTAAGTGAAGATTATATGGTACACACCTCTGGTTGTTTGCTGATGGCCTCCACAAGACCATAATAACAAAGAGGATCATGGAGAAAAGAAGTCGCCAGATGGCATCATCCACCCAGAGTTCCTGCCAATCCTGCCAGATGAACACACAGTTAGCATCAACCTGTCTATACACAACACATTTGCTCCTTATAAAGGGTTATTAACCTATGAATGTCTACAAAGCCAGAAAACAATAAGCAATACATTGTTACAACTCACCGACTGACAATCCACCAGACGGAATTTCATGGTAGTCCATACAATAAATACAACTGATGCTACATGTTGGAAAAAGAAAATAAGACAAATTATTACATTTTTATTGATACACAGTATTATTAAGCTGCAGCATCTATTTCTAGCTCTAAGAATTGGAGCGCTGTAAAAATAAATAATTTAAACATTTTGAAGATCGATTTTGACTTTAAGGGTATACAATTTATCCTTCAAAATCTGGGTGTTCAAACGGACGTCTGCAAGCTACAGATGACTCCCATTTATACTGAACAGTGGAAGCCTTTAACGACACATTCCGATGTGAGACACAGACCATGCAAAACAAAATATGCTGAATTGCAAATACAGTGACTATTGGGATATTGACAGCAGGTAATAGCCAGGGTTCATTATATTTTCTAGAGAAGCAAGTAGCTCTCATCAATTTAATATTGTAAGTCAAAGTTTATATTATATTATTTTTTTCTTATGTAGGTTACTCATTTAAGACTCATTGAGAGGAGTTCCATATTGGGATATTAATGAACATTATTTATGTATCAATAAGAAGAGAAAGCTTGTGGTGTACATCTTACTTTTGGACCTTAGGTTTGATAACTTGTAATAGCCTTAAAAGATTTACAGGTCTTCTAAATTCAGAACTTCACCAGGAACTCGGACCCATTAAATGTAAACCAAGACGGGTTCTTGTGTCCGATCCACATTGAACTTGGTGGACAATGAACTTGTAACTACCGTGTTTCTCCGAAAATAAGTCCGGGTCTTATATTAATTTATAACACACTAGGGCATAGAGCCAGTCTGTCAGCCGGTGTCCGCGCTGTGTAACCCCCCCAGAGACCCTCACCTCCCCCCCCCGTGTATTATCATTTCTCCCCCCTCTCCCTCCCGTGTCCGTATCCACTCCCCTCCTGTAATGCTCTCCCCCTCCTCCTCCTGTAATGCTCTCCCCCCCTCCTCCCTCCCTCCTGTAATGCTCCCCCCTCCCTCCCTCCCTGTGTGCTCTCCCCTCCTGTGTACTCTCTCCCCCTCCCCCTCCCTGTAATACTCTCCCCCCCTCCTGTAATGCTCTCCCCCTCCCCCCAATGCTCTCCCCCTCCCCTCCCTGTGTCTCTCCCCCTCCCCCTCCTGTAATGCTCTCCCCCTCCACTCCCTCCTGTAATGCTCTACCTCCCCTCCTCAATACTCTCCCCCCCTCCCTCCCTCCTGTAATGCTCTCCCCCCCCTCCCTCCCTCCTGTGGCTCTCCCCCCCCTCCCTCCCTCCCTGTAGTACTCTCCTCCTCCTGTGCTCTCCCCCCTCCCTGTAATGCTCTCCCCCCCCTCCCCCCCCTCCTGTGTGCCTCTCCCCCCCCTCCCTCCTCCCTGTAATACTCTCCCCCCCTCCTGTAATGCTCTCCCCTCCCTCCCTCCTGTAGTACTCTCCCCTCCCTCCCTCCTGTATTACTCTCCCCTCCTCCCTCACCTGTACTCTCCCCTCCCTGTAAATGCTCTCCCCCCTCTCCCTCCCTCCTGTAATGCTCTCCCCCTCCCTCCCTCCCTGTGTCTCTCCCCCTCCTCCTCCTGTAATACTCTCTCCCCCTCCCACCTCCCTCCCTGTAATACTCTCCCCCCTCCCTCCCTCCCTGTAGGCCTCTCCCCCCCCTCCTCCTCCCTCTTGTGCTCTCCCCCCCTCCCTCCTCCCTGTCTCTCCCCCCTCCCTCCTCCTGTGTGCTCTCCCCCTCCCCCATGCTGTGCTCTCCTGTACTCTCCCCCCCTCCCCTCCTGTAATGCTCTCCCCCCTCCCTCCCTCCCTGTAATGCTCTCCCCTCCAATGTGTGTTCCCCCTCCCTCCCTCCCTGTAATACTCTCCCCCCTCCAATCTTCTCCTCACCTGCTCTTCCCTGTAGCGTGGCCGAGCTCCTCTCCGGTCTGCGACCCGGCCGGACTGTCCGGCCGGGTCGTGGACCGGAGAGGAGCTCGGCCACGCTACAGGGAAGGGGAGGTGAGGCAGTGCGGCAGCCGTCTGAGCGCTCTCTATAGAGCACTCAGTCGGCTGTGGCATTTAAGGGCCGGCAGCCGCCGGCCCTGCCTAGGTCTTATTTTCGGGGTAGGGCTTATATTGCAGCCCATCCCGATAATCCAGCTAGGGCTTATTTTCGGGAAAACACGGTAAGCAACTATAGGTGCCTGGGGGATACAGGTTTTCAAACAATCCTCCTGCATGTAAGCTTGCATCAGAAAATAATTGGTGTTATGAGCTTTGGAAGCAAAGGGGTTTGAGTTATGAGGTGAAACATACCTACAACAGCCAAGATGAGCGTGTTGGTGAAGTGTCTGTACAAAGACAACTTGACCACGTTCCTTCTTAGTCTCAGCAGCTTCATGGTCTGTGTGAGGCTTATGAAGATGTGTCGATGGGTTAAGGAAAACGCGATCACCAGGAAAACACACACAAAAATATAAACATCTATTGACATAGAAAACGGGTTCTAAATTGACCAACTAAACTGTCGGCATCACTTATATAGTAACTCAAACAGACAATCAAATTAGGCGTAAGGCCATCACATACATGCAATTACACACATTTTCCCTGCTGCGTTTACAATAGTGTCAGTTAAAGGGACATTGTGGGTTGGAGGTGACCTATTCTTTCCTTATACAGACAAGGCCTTAAAATATATGCTAAATTAAATTAAAAATAATATCTCCGAGCTCTGCCTAATCAAAGAAGTGACTCACACAATCAAGATGCTCTGTTACCGAACCATAGCAGTGCTGAGCGTATCTCCTGAATCCACACACAACTGTGTTTAATGGGTACAGCAGGAAATCGAGGAGTGGTAGCTCAGTTTCCGTTATGGTAAGTAAACATCTCAAATATAGCCGCAGGAACCTTTGCTGTGTCCCATGTACAGATCTACAGTTTTATTGGAGCAAAAAAGGGAAACACTGCCAGTTGGTCAGGTAGAGGTTGATGTAGAAAAAAACTTTTTAAAACTAAATTATAAAAACAACAAGACATAATAACTAACTGTAACTTATGATGTCCCAGAGGTAACATGCCATTTTTATTTATTTTTTATTAAAATGTTGTACTCGTGTGCACAATTTAGTAGATTGTGCCCAGGAGACAGGCACTGCATTAGCACACTTTACCTATACAGTGAGCACAATATAGTAATTTGTGCGCACAGTCTACTAAAACAGGGGTGCCCAAACTACAACTTCCATGATGCTTTGTCATTCTAAAGGCCAGCAAAGCATCATGGGAGTTGTAGTTCTACGACATCTGGGGATCTAACATTTGGGCACTCCTGTATTAAATCACGCATACAAGTTAACTATATTGTGGGCAACAAGGCCGGCGTTCAGGTAAGCTCCTACTTTCTTCCCTGCTTTCCCAGCATTCTCCAGTCCCTGGCTGGGCTCCAACATGATGGTGGAGTTGGCCAGCCCCACCAACAATGTGATTCTAGATGTTATTCCCGCTTGGTTATATACTCCTAATATTTACAACTCCCTTGCATATCCATCACATTTACCAAACTACTGAATAACTCCATAAACTATAAGAAATTGAGGAAATATAAGTGAGCACTAAAAGTGTGATGAAGTCAAGTGCATTTCTTGTATAGTTTTAAGATGTGGAACCCATGAATTTAAGAAGGCTTACCAGGAAGTGGTGATTGGATAGCAGTTTATTAAAGTCATCTGTGGACTTCATAGGGAAGCTATGTTAGTATGCCATCATGTCTCTTTGAACAGGACACTAAACACCAAACTAGACAATGCACTTCTAACATGATGACATGATATAACAGGCAGTCTCTATTTGGGAATTTTCATCGTTTAGGTGTGCAATCCAACTGCATCTAATTACCAAGAGGGGAACTTGGCATCTAGGTTATGGCGAGAATGTGTGGCCATATATATATAGTTAACACTATTTTTGGAAAATTAGTGGGGGTACAAAAAAACGCATAAAGTTTTGAGAACACGAAAACATTTACATTTACTAGAGCAAGTCTTAATTCTGGTTAAACCAGGTTACCATATTAGTGACCAGTAATTAACAATAAGGATCATAAAATGAGACAAACAAACAGAAATACAAGCAGAGACAACAAAAAAGGTCAGGGAAGGATATCCACCAGCACAAGGCAGTGTCAAGAAAAGCCAGAGGAATAAAAGCCAGGGAGGCAAGGTCAGACTGCGCCTAAACCAAGAACGGAGCATAGGAATTAAAAGGAGGAAACACAAATAAGCAAATGATAGCATGTCCCCTGACCCACACAGTGAGGCAGCTTCAAGGGTGTCTTGAAGAGGCACCACAACCAAAATGGCTATAGCTTGCAGTACCAGCAACATGGGTTCAGGGGAGGAATGGCACCAGCCAAAGTGAATAATAAAGAGTCGTAACCCACACATTAAGGACTGGTATAGATCTGCTCGCTATAGCTTTAGAACTGGAAAGAATACAATGTTATACAAAGTACATGAAACTTAGTAGTTCTTACATGTTGACCTTTTAAAAACACATTTGAACTTTGAATTACAAGTAGGAATAAACTGACTTTATATTTCTTTCAAATATAAAAACATCTTCACAAATAGACACCAATCAGAAGCAAACCGTGAAAAACACAAATAAAACGCTTTATATAATTTCAGATACTTACCTAACTGTAAAAATGAAAATGGTGTATACCGCGCCCATAGATTATGCGTACATAAATCTTCAGATGGTAGTTTAGACTTGACGCGTTTTGCCTGTCCAACGCTTTTTGAAAAGTGAGAGATAGTCTTTACAATGCTTGGTTTATATATGGTCTAAAGACTCCCAAATATAAACCAAGCATTGTAAAGACTATCTCACACTTTTAAAAAAGCCTTGGACAGGCGAAACGCGTCAAGTGAGATTTCTTCATCCATTTTAATTATTTTTTTTTAAAAAAGAATTTTACTATTATTTTGTTAAAATATAGCTTGCTTTTAATAGCCATTTGCTTTTTTATTTTATCATCTTGCTTCCTGGTACCAACATATCCCTAGGTGGGGATTATACCAACCATGCTGTTTTAACTAGAGCAAGTCTTGCTCTAGCAAATGTAAGTGCAATACCTTATCTTCTTTTCATATATAAAGTACTTACTTCACCATTGGAGTTTTCTTCTTTATATTTGTCTCCATATATACTTTGCATACTGCATTGCATTTGGAGCACCGATATTACCTACATCACCATATATCCTTAGACGGGGATTGTACCATCCATGCGCAACACAGCAGAGCTCTTAGCTAGTTCAATCAAATGTGAGTGGATCCCATATAGTACTAATATTCTAATCTGTATTATAATATACAGTATTGCACTATTGCTGGTTTTTTTTTCTGTTATTCTGAGGTCTAAGGTATCATCTGAAGATTTATGTACGTATAATCTTTGGGCGCGGTATACGCCATTTTCAATTTTTACTATTTGTTCATTCACGAGGTTTGGGAATCCTTGTATTGTGTACTGCAGCCCACATAAATAGACCTATTAAGTTATAGTGAGCGCCTATTACTTTTTTGCTTTCCACTTACCTAACTGTGCATACAAAGTAAGAAACCGTACGTACACGCAGAGGGACTGACCTGCGATATGTGAACCCAAATCAGCTATTTTATGGTAAATGACTGGAAGATGCAATAGTGTGACTATTTAGTCATCTTATCTGTCCTGGCTTGTAATTGTACATTTACTTCATTAGTTACAAAGTTATAGATTATCTAACAAAAAAATGAAATTAAAAAAATCCCACTTTTGTTTAATTTAGTGCATTTGTAAAGGTTTTTGGTAATAAATAAAAATAAATAAAAAGTAATGTACGTGGATATCTGGCTTGTTGCATACATTTACAATCAAACAGTAGGTACTGCAGAAATGTCTGTTCTCTCAACATCTCACCCAAACATGATCTTAACTCCTAACATCCCACATGGTTTAAAGGGAAACTATAGTGCCAGGAAAACAAACTCATTTTCCTGGCACTATAGCTTCCCCCTTTGTCAAGACCCCCTCCTCCCTTGGTGCAGAAGGGGTTAATAAGCCCTTCTGTCACTCACCTGGGTCCAGCGTCGTTGTCCCTCTGTGCTGGCTCAGCTCCGCCCGCACTCCTCCCCCGCTGACGTCTGGCGGTAGGGGAGACCTAATGCTTGGCAATGGCCGCGCTAGCATTAGGATCTCCCCATAGGAAAGCATTATTCAATTACGGCGACGCTGCAGGACGTCCAGCGTTGTTTAGACTATCAAAAGTCATCTAAGAATCCGGAGTTAACCCTAGCAGGTAATTATTGCAGTTAAAGTTGAAAGAGAAGGGCAGATTATATTACCATCAAGAGGAAAATTCTTAATGGACTTCTTAAAAGCCACTTGTGTAATTTAGTAACCCATTTAGCATGGGAAAACCATGGTGTGTTTACCGACAATCATTTATAACTGCATCTAGTACAGCAATAATGAAAGTACAAAGCTCTATGACACAATGCTATACACCAAGCATGGAAAGGGAGTAAAAATATATTTGTGACATGTTAAAGTAATACACTGCTCAAACAAATAAAGGGAACACTTAAACAACACAATGTAACTCCAAGACAATCACACTTCTGTGAAATCAAATTGTCCACTTAGGAAGCAACACTGAGTGACAATCAATTTCACATGCTGTTGTGCAAATGGGATAGACAACAAGTGGAAATTAGAGGCAATTAGCAAGACACCCCCAATAAAGGAGTGGTTCTGCAGGTGGTGACCACAGACCACTTCTCAGTTCCTATACTTCCTGGCTGATGTTTTGGTCACTTTTGAATGCTGGCAGTGGTTGAATGAGACTGAGTCTGCAACCCACACAAGTGGCTCAGGTAGTGCGGCTCATCCAGGATGGCACATCAATGCGAGCTGTGGCAAGAAGGTTTGCTGTGTCTGTCAGCGTAGTGTCCAGAGCATGGAGGCGCTACCAGGAGACAGGCCAGTACATCAGGAGACGTGGAGGAGGCCGTAGGAGGGCAACAACCCAGCAGCAGGACCGTTACCTCTGCCTTTGTGCAAGGAGGAACAGGAGGAGCACTGCCAGAGCCCTGCAAAATGACCTCAAGCAGGCCACAAATGTGCATGTGTCTGCTCAAATGGTCAGAAACAGACTCCATGAAGGTGGTATGAGGGCCAGTCGTCCACAGGTGGGGGTTGTACTTACAGCCCAACACCGTGCAGGACGTTTGGCATTTGCCAGAGAACACCAAGATTGGCAAATTCGCCACTGGCGCCCTGTGCTCTTCACAGATGAAAGCAGGTTTACACTGAGCACATGTGACAGACGCGACAGAGTCTGGAGACGCCGTGGAGAACATTCTGCTGCCTGCAACATTCTCCAGCATGACGGGTTTGGCAGTGGGTCAGTAATGGTGTGGGGTGGCATTTCTTTGGGGGGACGCACAGCCCTTCATGTGCTCGCCAGAGGTAGCCTGACTGCCATTAGGTACCGAGATGAGATCCTCAGACCCCTTGTGAGACCATATGCTCGTGCGGTTGGCCCTGGGTTCCTCCTAACGCAAGACAATGTTAGACCTCATGTGGCTGGAGTGTGTCAGCAGTTCCTGCAAGACGAAGGCATTGATGCTATGGACTGGCCCGCCCGTTCCACAGACCTGAATCCAATTGAGCACATCTGGGACATCATGTCTCGCTCCATCCACCAATGTCACGTTGCACCACAGACTGTCCAGGAGTTGGCAGATGCTTTAGTCCAGGTCTGGGAGGAGATCCCTCAGGAGACCATCCGCCACCTCATCAGGAGCATGCACAGGCGTTGTAGGGAGGTCATACAGGCACGTGGAGGCCACACACACTACTGAGCTTCATTTTGACTTGTTTTAAGGACATTACATCAAAGTTGGATCAGCCTGTAGTGTGTTTTTCCACTTCCATTTTGAGTGTGACTCCAAATCCTGACCTCCATGGGTTGAAAAATTTGATTTCCATTTTTGCATTTGTGTGATTTTGTTGTCAGCACATTCAACTATGTAAAGAACATTTCAGAAGAATATTTAATTCATTCAGATCTAGGATGTGTTATTTTTGTGTTCCCTTTATTTTTTTGGAGCAGTGTACATCTGTAGATTGATCTGGGAATAGTTAAAGGACCACTATAGGCACCCAGACCACTTCAGCTTAGTGAAGTGGTCTGGGTGCCTGGTCCAGCTAGGTTTAACCCCTTTTTTCAATAAACATAGCAGTTTCAGAGAAACTGCTATGTTTATATTTGGGTTAATCCAGCCTCTAGTGGCTGTCTCACTGAGTGTTTTTCTGGCACTATAGTGGTCCTTTAATCATTTGTACTGCTGCAGTTACGGATTAGGATTCATGGTATGCTGAGCTATATTGCTGCCACCAAAGTCTTGGTGTTTCCAATGTGACTCTCACAGCTTCATTGCCCTTTTTCAGGATTTACAGATGGATAAGCACAAGCACAAGCACATGCAGTGTTAATACATAGATAGATTCTGATTGTAAAACTGGAGGAACACAGTCAGCAGAAAGTACTCGTAAGATGGTGTGTCTTAAAGGATATCCAAAAGATAATGCAGGCATCGATCAATGAAAGACTCACATTTGCAATGAATGCCATGGTACTGAAGTAATGCTGGAGTAAAGAGAGCACAATGAATTAATGTCAGGGATATGGGATAAGCAGAGGTTAGTGTTTGTCCAGAATGGAATGAGTTCAAGCTTGCGAGATGACGTAGAGCTACTGGTTAGTGCATTGCTAGAAGAGAATATCGGTCTGTAAAATCTTAAAAGGATGCTTGTAGTCACCAAAACAACGTTGGCTTAATGAAGCCGTTTTGGTGTATAGATCATGTCCCTGAGGTCTCAGTGCTCAGTTGTCTGCTTTTTAGGAGTTAAATCACTTTGTTTATGCAGCCCTAATCACACCTCCCTGCATGTGACTTCTATAGCCTTCTTAAACACTTCATGTGAAGAGTCATCTAATGTTTACACTTCCTTTATTGCAAATTCTGTTTAATTTAGAATTCCTTATCTCCTGCTCTATTAATAGCTTGTCAGACCCTGCGGGAGCCTCCAGTATGTAATTAAAGTTCAATTTTCAGAGCAGGGGATAAAAACTTTTAAAGTAAGTTACATCTGATTGAAAATGAAACCATTTTGTTTTCATGCAGGCCGTGTCAGTCGCAGCCAGGGGAGGTGTGGCTAGGGCTACATAAACAGAAACAACAGTGATTTAACTCCCAAATGGCAAAATTGAGCAGTAAGACTGCAGGGGCATAATCTATACACTAGATCTGCTTCATTAAGCTAAAGTTGCTTTGGTGATTATAGTGTCGATTTAAGCACCACACCAAACTAACTTAAATGAACACTCAAACCTCGAAAACACTTTGGCTTATTATATTGGAGAAGTTATGTTGGAATAGATTTCTAGCATCTAACTACTATAGTCTGTAGTGGTTATGGTAGCTGAAGCCCCTTTAAGCTACGCTATGGTATGGCATTGGAGTGTCTCTCTAACATAGTTTGTGTGGACGTGGAATGTATTTAGCATGTATATAATATGCTTTATTTAGCTCAAACATATCAATACATTCTTCAATTGACAAGTAGCCAAAAAATAAGCATATTTTATAAAAATTTCACCAATATTCTGCCTCTGGCAGCATGCCAGTTACCGAGAACTATACTAAATGCCCCTTATAAAAGAATGGTACAGGCATAAAAATATGCAATCAGAAGATAAGATGTGGCAGCCAAGATGGACATACCCACTGTTTTCATTTTTAGCACTGTACATAACAGTGCTCTATGGGGAAGTTATAGCTGAGTTGGTTTCACTTTAAGTGGATCAGTGTATTTCACACCGGCTCTTTCTCTGATAGCAGACCAAATAAACATGCATGGTCCGCATCTAGTATTTTAAACGTTGAATATTTTTACATTTAAATTTGAAGGTAAAACAGAACACATCTTCAATAACATGTTAATCGTTTGCATAACTAGACTATCAAACATAGCAAGCACTGGCGTTAATGGCTAAAGATGAAGAGCACACTAAAAAAATTAAAAAGCAAAGCCAATGTCAGGTATATCGCACAGACATTTGTCACATTCTAATATGTAACCTGCGTGGATATTTTGTTTCTGCCTGTCACTTTAATTATCTAATAATACAGGAGTTCTGACTCCCGAGATGATTTTTATTTGTGGAATATTTAGTGTAAGGCCATTATTTGTATCACAAATAAAAACATAAATAAAAAAATAAAAAATACCCCACAAACACAATATTGTTAAATCATCTGTTTAAAGATTAGATAGAGTTTAATTGAGAAAGAAGAGATTAAAGAAATAAAAATAGATTGCTTTAAAAGATATCGACCCATTATATTGTTTTGGGAACCTGTTAATAAACTTACGCCTGTGACTCGAAGAACGCCTTCCATGCCAGAGAACAGTAGGTAGAGCGCTCCAGCCATAACGACCTTGTGCAGCGTAGCACCAAGACGCGGCCTGCATTTAAAAAAAAAAGTTAATCAATTTTATCGACCTAGAAAATACCCAGGAACTTTTGTCTATGGTGATTTCATTTGTTTGCCTATTTTGCCTCAATTTAAATACGATCTGTCATGGGAATACAAGATTATGTTAAAAAGAAAGAACACAAAAATCAATCTATATATTTTGCTAATGCTATAAAAAATGTACACATGTGCTGGCATTGCATTCACGCCTGCCAGGTTAGAGCGCAACTCTATCAGCGCCAGGGAACCTGTGGTCAGTACTTGCAGTCGGTAAAGAACACTTGTATCTTGCATGCAATCTGGCAACAGGAACAGAGTAACAGGGCAATACGTTCAAGCTTGTCTCCACTGAAAGTGAACCTGGAGCAGTAAACTGCAGGAAGTAGATGAAACAGCAAATAGCAGCCTGGCAACAGGAACAGAGTAACAGGGGAGGGGGACAATAAAAACAAAGTAAAAGTCCCACAAATAATATCCAACGCATTTTGTCTGTTGTATGGACTTCCTCAGGGCCCATACAACGGATTAAACACGTTGGATTTTATTTATGGGACTTTTACTTTGTTTTCATTGTCCCCCTCCCCTGTTACTCTGTTCCTGTTGCCAGGCTGCTATTTGCTGTTTCATCTACCTCCTGCAGTTTACTGCTCCAGATCCACTTTCAGTGGAGACAAGCTTGAACGTATTGCCCTCTTCTGCCAGCAGAATATCTACTCCACACATACCCCATTTTGCAGGGAGACAAGCCTGAATTTCCAGACGTCTTGTGAGTTTTTTCACTTTCCCCTTTCCCTCTTGCCTTGTACTTAACTGTATAACGCTATGTACAGTTTTTTTTCCTTTCTAGATACTGTATTACCAGGTGGTATTCATTCCCTTTTACATGGCGCTTTGTTTTCTTATACTCTGTATAAGTATTGTTTTAATCACTCATTTAAAATAACTTTTTATGTTCAATTTTCTTTAATCAAATTTTTATTTTATCTTAAACAGTGCCACAATAAATAGCCTACCTCACACACACCAGTGCAAACATCCCACACACATACACAGAACACCTCAAACACATTCACAATAAAAATACCTACCTCATACATATACACAATACATATATAACAAACAGTCCACATACACGCTCAGACCTGCAAGCAGTTCCCAACACACATAAAATACCACAAATAGCCCATGCACCACACAAATTGCACACATATGCACTCATTAAAGGCCAAGACATTCAGCTCACTTACTTGACAATACCATAACCCAGGCTGACGATGATTACAAGTATGCGAGCTAAAGACCTCTTAACAGCAGAAAGCAACTCTCCAAGAATAACGGCTCCTTCCACTGCCAAACAAGAGGGAAACAAAACATCAAATGAATGTATGGCCCAAAACACACAGGATGTGAGATGACACAAAATTTAATTTCAATCTGTCAAAAAATAAATAAAACCTTTTTATTGTGAGTGATAAGTAGTTATTTAAATATTACTGTAAATAGGGTTGGGCATGGAAACCCTATTTATCAGCAGATGTTCTAGACTAGAGAGTACGACTAGTAATAAATGATTGGGGTGTTACATGGTAGAATAGGGCAAACAAAGACCAACTAGTGATGGTAGCAGGGAGCATCCCTGGCTCTTAAAGGACCACTATAGTGCCAGGAAAACAAACTTTTTTTCCTTGCACTATAGGGTCTTTAGGTCCCCCCCCACCCTCAAGGTCCCACCCCCGCTGGGCTGAAGGGGTTAAACACTTACCTTTCTCCAGCACCAGGCTCCCTCTGCGTTGGGGGAACTCTCCTCCCTCTGCCGACGTCAGCGCCGAATACACATGTGTGGCAAGAGACGCGCGCACATTCAAACAGTTCATAGGAAAGCATTTCTCAATGCTTTCCTATGGATGTCCAGCATCTTCTTACTGTGATTTTCACAGTGAGAATCGCGCAAGAGCCTCTAGCGGCTGTCAGTGAGACAGCCACTAGAGGCTGGATTAACCTTAGTGTAAACATAGCAGTTTTTCTGAAACTGTAGTTTTTAATTTTAATTTTATTTTTTTTATAGGTTTTGACAACGGTTTCCCTCTATTTCTCGTATACTTAACACTAGATGGACCTGGCACCCAGACCACTTCATTGAGCTGAAGTGGTTTGGGTGCCTATAGTTGTCCTTTAACATGTTAATATTTGAGTTGTTGAAGAAGTCTGCAATATTGATCAGCCTTCAAAAATAGTTCCTGTAATTACTGGGAAAATTGAATTTTTTGTGTAGCGGTCACATAGCAAAATCCAAGCATCTTACCAGATTCTCCCTTATAGCGGATGTTTTGGAATTCGGCATAAAATACGGCTTTTTCCAGCATGCCCAGGAAGATGACAGCACCCACCCAGAACTGTATCCGGAGCAGGTCCCTCCAGTAACACGCAGACCAGGCCAGCCAAAGAACACCAAACAGCACATACACGATACACATCACCATGAAAAACTGTAAGTAAAGTAAGAGAATCAGAGTAAACATGCGGAACTTTATGGAAAAAAGCTTCTTATGCTAAAAATCTGTCAGTGTGTAAATCACCTCCTACTACGAAAAGTCGATCCATAACGGGATTTATATGCTATCAGATATTTACTTACAATCATGCGTGGATAGTCAGCTAGTGACAAGTATTCATAGGGTCCTTTCACTTCCACGATCACTGTGGGGGAAGAGAGGATTTAAAAAAACAATTGTTAGGAGAGTATAAGATTACAGAAAAAAAAAATCAATTTTATTATCCTATAAATTAAAGGACCACTATAATGCCAGGAAAACAAACACATTTTCCTGGCACTATAGGGTCTTTGTGTCCCCCCCACATTCAGGGTCCACCTCCCGTCGGGCTCAAGAGGGGTCAAGGGGTTAAACACTCACCTTTCTCCAGCGCCGGGCTCCCTCCTCCCTCTTCAGACGTCAGCGCTGAATGCGCATACGCGGCGCGCGGATTCAATCAGTCCATAAGAAAGCATTTCTCAATGCTTTGCTATGGACGGCAGAGTCTTCTCACTCTGATTTTCACAGTGAGAAGCACGGAAGCGCCTCTAGCGGCTGTCAATGAGACAGCCACTAGAGGCTGGATTAACCCTATTGTAAACATAGCAGTAGATGGACCTGGCACCCAGACCACTTCATTGACACTTGTATTAAGAAGTCTTACTGTTTAAAGACTTTTCTTTAGCACTTCCAGTAGTGGTGATAACTTGAACTTGAGGCTCATCACTTCTTTTACTTCTTGGAGACGGCTCCTGAGCAGTTTGTATTTGAACATGAACTATAAAAATATACGGCCCATCCTTCCATGTCTGCATGATGGCATTCATTGGTTTGTCCTGAGAAAAGAAATCAGGTTAGAGAACCTGCACGGACTGAAGAGTGAACCGGGTGAAGGGACTGCTAAACATGATCTGGTGTCACTTTGTAAAATATAGCAAGCTATCTAGACATCGTGCTAGCCAAATTACTAGAACACGTACTAGTTCAAAGGTTATTTAAAGAGACACTCTAGTCACCGGAACAACTACAGAATTGACAGTTCCTATTGGAAAGCATTGGATTGCCCGAGATACTCAATTGTGATGATGTCAGCTAAAGAGGTGGATTGGGGATGGACCCGCAGAGCACTGGAATAAAGAGAAGTTTTTACTTTGTAAAGGGGGCCAAGAGACCCCAGAAATACATTCAAATACAGAATCTAGAGTGTCACTTACATTTCTATGTAGGATGTAGAAAATGAAACTGCACATGTATCTCTAATGTTGACATTTAGATATCTAAACTTAAGTTCAGAGTGGCAAAGTACATTTTAAATAGCACTCTAAGCACCATAACAATTACAGCTCATGAGTATGGGGGCTGTCAACCGGTTTTCTGTCAAACCATTCTGGATCAATTTGCATATGAGAACAAATAATTTCCCATTATCAGTGCAGCTGCAGAGGTAACACCTCTCCCCCACCCCTAGACTCAATGCGCCATAAGTGGTTGTGGTGCTCAGAGTGCTCTGGAAGCATTAAGAAAAAAAAAAAGGTGTATTTTTTTGCAATAATTACCAAAAGATTCAATTTCAAGAGGTACAATATTATTGACTAAACTGTCAGAAGACAAACACCACACAAACTTTATGTCCTCTTCGATGCAATAGCCATGTACAGTTAAAGCAGCCCAGCCTAAATGCAAAGAAAACAAGACTGATACTTACATTATTTTCAATATGCAGTGCTTTTGTTTCATTCTCCTTTTTCTAAGGGGAAAAAGAAATGCTAAGCAATGCGTTCACTAGTTGGCAACTATTACTTTTAAACACTTTTATAACCGCAACGCAATATGACTTTGCAGGATGGACTGGGGTCTATATACAATGCAGCAAATTGAAAACCAAATTATAACATGTGTGCAAAAATGCGGACATGAAAAAAATAATTAAATCAATCAATAAATCTCCATCTCACAAAACCCCCAATATTTGGATATTTTTGCCAATATTTTCCAGTACTACACTAAAAGTTAGCGATAGGTTTTGTTTATATTTTTTAAGTTCTCTATAGTTGTTTTTTTTTTTTTAAATATATATTTTTATTTTCATTTGCATGCTTTGCAGGGTTAATTCTCAGTAGACGCTCATCCTTATAACCGCTAGAATAGAGTTCACTAGGGTGAAGGTAGAAGAAACGGTCACTTCCATAGAAGTGACACTACCTCTTTAAAGCACAAACCCATGCATTTCAAAAGACCTTGAATATAATAAAGAATTTTTTTTAAAGTATGTACCTCATTTTTGTCATCATCGAGCGGCATTGGTTCAATTAGTCCCTTGAATTGCTTGGAATAGAAACAGAAGAGAAGTATACATATAAACAGTTTGTAATGAAAAATAATTACAAACACTACAAGAAATGTACATTGGTGTGTACACTACTGACACACACACACAAACACACACACAACAAAGCTATGCACACAATAAAAAAAAGAAAGTGCTTTAGAAAAAGCACTCCAGTGATAAGTTAGGAAAGTGCATTACTCAAGGTAAAATTTCACTGGATAAGAAGTCCCCCCCCCCTCTTACCTCTGCTGATCTACTTACCATAATAAATACTGAAATACCATAGGAGCAAACAGTTAAAGGGACACTATAGTCACCAGAACAACTACAACTTATTGTATTTGTTCTGGTGTCTATACCATGTCCCTGAAGACTTTTTGCCGTAAACACTGTCTTTTTCAGAGAAAATAGAAGAAAGGTCCAGCCAATCGAAGGTAAAAACCAGGCAATTTTATTGAACCCACTCCATCACAACGTTTCAACCTACACGGTCTTTGTCAAGCTTTTGTTACTCAGCATTTGGTCTCTGGTACTGAGACTGTCCGAGTTGCACCCAGCTACATACTACTTAAAGGGACAGAGTGCAGTTCCACACCCTACTATAACTTTTTCAGAGAAAAGGCAATGTTTACATCCAGCCTAGGGACAACTCCAATGGCCATTGGAGGTGCTTCCTCTGTCAGTGCTGCACAGTGTGCAGCACTGCCATTCAGCGTCTCCACGCTCAGCATGGAGACGCTAAACTTTCCCCATAGAGACGCAGTGATTCAATATGCAGAGCTGGAAATAATGTGAGATTTTTACTTTATTTGGGGGGTTAGATAGTAATTTTAACACTATAGGGTCGGGAATACATACATATGTATATGTTTGTGTTCCTGACCCTATAGTGTTCCTTTAAGGTATACAAAGCTAAACATTCCCTTACTGATCCTCGCATGACTTTAAAAATTCTCCATTTCTTTCATGTACAAGACTTCTAACATGAGTTCACAATAAATAATACACAACAAAGTGAAAAGACATACCATAGGTTTGAAAAGCTCCTCACAGTTGGTGACAACGAATGAGTTCCGGGCATAGGATCCAGTCCAGCCTTCTCGCATCACTGAAGTGGAAATTATGTACTCCTGAGCCTGCTCTTCCTTTACAAGCAAAAATATTCTGCATGTTAACACTGTACAAATGCATGCCTACACTGGACACATAGCTTAGATAACTATAAGACCGGATATGTATTTCGAAATTCCGTGAATATAATTACAATAACTAAAAGGTGAAGCCTATTCAATCATTTAAGCTGTAAATATCTATATAACTTAGATGTGCATCTATATTCTAAATAAGTACAGTTTTAATCCACTAGTCAAAACGATCAGTCAATCAACATCTCAAATAGGCATGACCACATTTTGACTTTCATTCATGCACTGTATATATGTGGATAGAAAGTACAGGGCTGTATTTCGGCATTGTGCGAGTTTGTGTGTGTAAGTGTGGAGTTGTTATTTAAGAATAGTCAGTGTGTGAATGCAGATTGCTGGTGTGTGTATGAATAAAGAGGTGTTATTTATGGTGTGTGTATGTGAATGAAGAAGAGTTATCTGTAAAGATCCAGTGTGTATGTGAATGAAAATTATGTAGAGCCAGTGTGTATGAATGAGGAGGAGCTACTTCTGCAGCAAATGCAGAAGTGATTAGTGTAGTGCAGAGGCAGGCAACCTTCGGCACTCCATATATTGTGGACGACATCTTCCACAATGCTCTTACGGTCATAATTCTGGCAAAGCATCAAGGGAGTTGTAGTCTACAACATCTAGTGTACTGCAGGTTGCCTATCCCTGGTGCAGTGTGCAGAGTGTCAAAGTGAGTGTATAAATGCAGGGCTTTATTTTATGAACAGTGTGTAAGAATAATCGTGTATTTAGGCAGAGTCTAGTTGTGTGTGAATCTGTGGTATTTATTTATTTAGTGCATCAGTGTGTGTGTGAATGTAAAGGGGTAGAGTGAATGTGTGTGAATTAAGAAGAGTTATTAGTGTAGCAAATGCGTAAATGCATACATTTATTTGGTTCCTTTACACCGGCTTGCTTATTGACTGTGTTTCCCCTATTAAATGGTCCTTTGCCTTTTACCTCTAACGAGGTATGTTGTTAAGACCTGCCACTTTAAGGACTGACATGCCTTGGTATTTCTCCCCCCCCCCCCATATCTTGTCATAACACAGATCTTACACCCATTTTTAACATACATTTTTGAAGTTCCATCAGTCTCACTGGATAAAGCCTTACTGATCATGTCTAGTGTATGACAGGTGTCTGGATGCTAGGATGTGATGTCACACAGCAATCATGGAGGTGTGCCATACGACTAGCTCAAACAAAATTGTGTGCATGCATTCACTTCATTAAACAAGCCGAGTATCAGATTCTGGTGCCGGCACGAAGCAGAGAGCAACTGATAGCTTCCCTTACACCCAACGACAACATGCTATGTGCAGTATGCAGTAATGAGTAACAAACAACCAAAGCCATTCACTCACTCACAGACATTTTGTGCCATGTACTTGCAGATCAGTAAAATTAATAAATTACCTAGCAGTAGCTAGACACTAACAATGTTACATTTTTGCTAATCTAGCATTCAATATAATTCTAGAAGTGTAAAATATTTCTTTAGTCAGTTCGTGGCATGCATGTTCTTCACTACACTGTACATTAAGGATAAAAGATCAATTCAACAATGAATTTACAGTCCGTCGTCAGCGCGCACAATAACGGACGTAATCAATTTCTACCCTTGCAGGCCCCCCTTTAAATATCCTTATCTGCACAAAATGTCTGAAGAAAAAAAAAAAAAACACACCCTATTTAAGGCACAATCTAAATGTTCACATTTTAGAAATATCACAAGCCTGTTTATATACACACTTCCTCTAGGTTGAGACTCACTTTATCTCAGTTGTTCCCAATAAGCACATAGTATTCTTCTTCCCCCAGGCAATTGGCCATAACAACATGTTTACTGTAGCAGCAGTGCCTTCCCCCGTACAAGGGGAATCTTTAATGTGCCCTCCCTACTTTCTCTTTTTTAGCACTCCCCAGTTCAGGACACCTAATTATTAAAGTCCAATAGGGCATTGTCGATTTAAATAAAATGTTTAATTAAAAAGGGTTGGAGGAAACCTTTAAACATCTGTCAGGAAAAAAACAACAACTAGGCACTATTTAGACATGGTGTAGCTATATCACAAGTCTGTTTATATATACAGACACTTCCCCTGGGTGGAGACACATGCTATTTCAGTGGTTTCCAATTGTTGGAATCACATGGTATTATCTGACCCCAGGCAACTGCCTATAATAAGATGTTTACTGTAGCAGAACTGCCTTCCTACGTGCACAGGGGCCCCTGACAATGGGAAGATTGTGATGAAGGCGCTGTTATAAATTAAACATCAGCTAAAAAATGGGCCATGTAAGTAAATGTACAAATAAAAAACACCAAGCAAATGCTATTCAATCATTTGGATCCCAACTGTGTTAGAAAATACGAATTTGGTCTGAGCTAATAAAAACTGGTTTAAGATTATATCCCTACATCACTTTTCCACAGTCTACTCACCAAGAAAGGCATGATGAATTAAACGGAATTACAGGTGAGTTATTACGGATACAGCTTACTTTTACACAAGTCTCTTGTGCCAGGTTGCCATGGAAACACTAACTTATACCTTGGCACTTGGAGATTAGTTTGCTCTTACTTTAGACATTACTATACTATGCACACAGATTCTAGCTTGAGAATACTCAGTCTGATTAATTACACATCACTCTGCTGTGATCAAACCAGACCACACTATGCGTTGAAGCAGGACTAGGAAGTCTTTTAAATGCAATGACATAAACACAGATGAATATTAAACTGACATATTAAGGTCGGCTTCATCACAGTGGAGCGAATTGTTTTAAAAGCAAAAACAAATTCTCCTGTAAAAAAAACTGTCAAAACAGCTTGGTTTTACATTTACAGCAGTTAAATTCTAACATTAGCAAACTAAGAGTCACAATCTAACAATGTACTTATAGCAGCATACTACAAAAGATTCTACTAATTCGAACTGGTTGAGCCTCCCATGTCCCATCTATATGCCTCGATAAATCCTCTTATGTATGAAGATACTTCTATGAAGTGTTGCTCAAGAAATAAAGAGTATGTACTTAAAGGACCACTATAGGCACCCAGACCACTTCAGCTTAATGAGGTGGTCTGGGTGCCAGGTCCATCTAGGATTAACCCTGCCTGCTGTAAACATGGTTGTTTCAGAGAAACTGCTATGTTTACTTTAGTGTTAATCCAGCCTTTAGTGGCTGTCTCATTGACAGCCGCTGGAGGCACTTTCGCGCTTCTCACTGTGATTAAGAAAGCTTTCCTATGGACTGGCTGAATGCGCGCTCAGCTCTTGCCACACATTCACCCGATGACATCAGAAGAGGGAGGAGAGTCCCCAGCGCCGAGGGAGTCCGGCGCTGGAGAAAGGTGAGTGTTTAACCCCCTTCCTCTCCATTCAGCTCGGTGGGAGTGGGACCTCAGGGCACTATAGTGCCATGAAAATGAGTTTGTTTTCCTGGCACTATAGTGGTCCTTTAATAGCAACACATTCTCGTTTCCTTTTTACACGATTCAGTAAAAGTTAAATACTAAAGTTAGCATGGATTCCAATCATGTAAGAGCTACGTGATTTGGGTACTCTATGCAGAGGGTAGAGTTTTAAAGCTTTATGTTTTGTCAGCGTATATAAGGTTTTAAGTCAGGGGTTGCTTATCTTACGGGTGTCATGTGAGTACTGTAAATGAGACTCGGATGGTACATGGCATGGCTTAAGTAAGTACTAATAATGGATGCTGTGTATCACAAGCTAAACTGGTCTGGTACAGGCTGTCGCTGATATTTTGTGCTGCCTCTCCATATCCCTACGGTTATACTCCATCTTGTTCATTTTTTAAAATATAGGTTACTACATTCCATTAACATAGGCATTCTATTTCATTTTGTACCAGCAATGCTTTGGCAGTCTTAGGTACCTACCCCAAAATTAGAGATTTCATTATAGCAATTGCACTGCCGTAAGTACCAACTGATGTTATAACGAAGAGAGTGATCGCATGTCTTCTGGTCATTTTCAACTAAGAGAGAATGTAAATAAATAAATGAGACCCGTGGAACAGGCGGATACCCTGCAATCAAGCATGAATTATCAAGAAGTATTGTATGATTACGGTAGGTCCTGAGAACTCCATATGCAAGCTTACAGCCAGGATGGAAACAGAGCTTGTGATTTACAAGGAAGATATAAACAACATTCAAGCATATCTAAGGATTAGCGTAAATTACTTCAGTGAGTGGGGTTTGAGGAAGATAAATAGAAGCTTACATTATAACAAGCCTCAATGGTGTGCAGAAGATTGAGAAAATTCATTGTAAGCAGGAACACATGTTAAACAGTGACTTTACGCAACATAACCACTACAGCTTATTGTGTTACATAGTTTTTATTTTGCATGCAGAATAATAGACATAAAACGTGTTTAACAAATTAACACTCTGGTGCCTGCGCAGAGGCATAGTATGTCGAGAAAAAGTAACGGCAATTGCCAATTACATGTTGCACATCAGTTTCGGCATGGGCAATGGTACGCTATTTGCAACATCTGGATATCTATTCGGTGTATGCATATAGCAAGGGATTGAGCCATATATTTATACATTAAATTGAGTAGAGAAACCAAAATCATAACACTTTTGTATTAAGCATATATGGCAAAGGTGATATAGCGGTCAGACATGTAATAAATCTTAAATGGGTGCAGCATAACAGCACCTAATTAGGCCTAAGCATGTAGGGCAGCTGCATTTTTGCTAGGTTTAGAAAAGGCATTTTACATTGCAACTTATTTAAGTTATGCCTATCTATGCAAGCGATAAAGCTTACAGCAAAATGAATTGTATGCGTAAAACGAGAAACATCATTATTCCATGGTAAATTAGTATGGAGCTAAAAATAGACAGCAAGTTACAGTAGTGTAATAAATAATAGCCCCATGGAGACAACAGTGTGCCAAACTCTTGTGGGTGATATGAGATTGGGGGCATGTCAGTGTTTAGAGTAAATTGTGAGGATGGTAGCAGTCAGTGTATTGAGTGGAGTATGAATTTGGATTTATTTTGGGGTTTTGCCTATCTAGTTGAATTAACATGTGTGGTTTGATCTGGGGGACGTACACTGCAGTAATATTGTAGTAGCGTTAATGACAAGTTTCCACTGAATAGGCTTGACATGCAATGTCGTCTGCGGTGGGTTGTACATTAAGTTGTGAGGTGTTTGTGGTGCGGAGTTGTGTAGGTCTGGAGTGGGTATCGGATGTGAGTGCCGTGCTAGTGGTGCTTGACCGCTTCGTGGTCTAGTGCAGTGTTTCCCAACCCAGTCCTCAAGGCACACCTACCAGTCCAGGATTTAGGGATTACCCAGAAGAAAAAAAACACATTAGACACAACTGGGTAATCCCTAAATCCTGGACTGGTAGGTGTGCCTTGAGGACTGGGTTGGGAAACACTGGTCTAGTGGTTGGGTCAGGGAGGATTGGGTTTAGGTGGAAAGAGGGGGGGGGAGGGGGAAGGGCAGGGGGGAGTCTCGTCAGTCAAGATTGAGTAATTAACCCCGGTCGCACGCATGGGGGTAGTCTTCTGGGCACTACAGCTTATTGTAGAAGTTAGTCACTGTACTTCTCTCCATTGCATGTCAAGCAGTTTGAGCAATTTGACAAAAAATTATGTTCTCCCAGCATCCAAAGTCCAACTTATGTAAAGCAATAATATGTGAGCACTAGGCTATGAGCAGATCAAAAGAAAATGAATGTTCTATGCTATTGGAAATAATGTAAGATGCTAAACTTTTGGTACTGGGGGCCTTTTTCCCCTCTTCCTAAAACTGCATGAAAACGGTTTTGGGGGGGGGAAAAACATTACACAGACTGTTTGCAATATATCCCAACAAACCCTAAAAGCTGTAGTAGTTAAGAAGCGTCTAGTGTCCCTTTAAAGAGGATCTGTCACCTCCTTGTGACTTTGCATATTTTGCAAATACACATGGTGAATCTGGGTTTCAACATTGGAACATACAAGTCCTATTATTGGCCTATAAAATTCACTTTTACTCATGAAACAAAAGTTGAATGTACAATTTAATATCACTTTAAATAAGAGGTTAGCACAAAACAAACAAATTAATTTTGTTCCATATGTTAACAAAGAAAACCTGCTCAACAGGTGCAAAAAGGATTTGACTTTGGAAATTTGTCAAAGAAAAAGTTCCACGTGCCGTAAATGTCTATTTGGAGAATATGAACTAACTGCAGGGAATGCTCCAGGGGCGTGGCAATTATGGAGTTAAGGAGCTGTTCTTTTAATTAGATGTGTTGCGATGTGGCCCCTATGCGCACATAAGAGACAACACATACAGGCACAATGTAGCGGAACATAATCCATCTCCTCCCCATGAACAACAGACAAAACAAAGAACGAATATCAGTTAAGACCCAAAGAAGTCTGTACGACACTCAGTAATGATGCATTCATAAGCCACTATGCATGCATAAACCCACATATAAATCATTGGATCTATGTACTTACATTTGACGAAGATTGTGGAGTTCCGAAAAAGGATCTTTCCAAAGCTGAAAAACTCATTCTGCAAATAAATAAATACAAAATGAGAGAGAGCACTCATTTTGGCAGCTGGTAAATAGCTTAAGCATGCAAGAACATAAACAAGTACAATACATGATACTCTTGATGGCAAAGAATACTGATACAACGTTTTTATATAAATTATAATTAGAAGTGATACAAATATACAATACTGTATTAATAAAAGTGTTTTTTTTTTTTTTTTTTTTTTTAAGCGAAATTACTCCCACCAGCATTCAAAAAGTAAACCCCTCCTTTTGGAGGTCAATATTTCCAAAGTTTAAGAAATATTCATTCAGTTAAGAGAATTGGGGTTGTACACATGCATGTATAAGCAAAAGGCAAGAGAACATTCCTTAGATTACTGGGTTCAGACCAGACAGACAGAGTACCCACTCCACGACAAACATATCCACTAACCCACACAAAGTACAAGAGGTATGTAAAGAACATACAGGACTACAGCCTATTCTCCAAGAACAAGCCAGACCGTATTAGTAAGAAGGTTCAAATAGTGGAAAGACCCTATAACAGCCCCACAAAAAAACTTCCTTATGGCAAAGTATTTAAATTCTCCTTGTAACAGGAACAACTACAGAGATGAGTGCTGAATTGAGGGATACTTGGAGTTGGGTAGCCGCGCATGCTGCCTCTTGCAACTATATAAAGGGATTATATTGGGAGAATATATTTTAGCCCTTTGGGCAATTCTCATTTTATCAAGGCAGTCTTAAAACATCAGTTGTCAACAAGAGATAAAAATACACACTATTAAGCAGAACAATCCAGAGATTTTAGATATACCAACTTATCATGAACAGGTAGTCGCCCCCATGCTGTAAGGATGACTATTCTATAACTGAATAGTATAACAAAACTCTGTGAATTACAGTTCAAGAAATTAAAAAGAGTAGAGAATGACGGTTAACACATCTATTTGAACAATGTCTAGTAGGTTCCTTTTTCAATAGGGAAAAACAACCCTCTGATTTCACTCATGTTGTTAGGTTTCCCAATTTCCTCTTTTTTAATGTACTCATAATAAATATCTCTGGGTCTGAGTGTGTTTTTATCCCTCAGTGCTTATTAGCCACTAAATACAAAATTAGGCAAGTTGTATTGCTCCATTTACTTTTAAAGATTCATTTCTCTGTTTGAATGCATGTCATACTGTTCATATAACCATTATTTTCCTCTCGACTATACAGCCATATTAGAACAGCAGTGTAAAGAAAGTGAGCCTTATAAACCATGTAAAGCCAGGGCGGCCCAGAAGGTAGATCCCCAGATGTTTTAAAACTACAACTCCCATGAGGCTTTGCCATTCTAAAAGGTATTCTAGAGGCATGCAAAGCATCATAGGAAACGTAGTGCTGCAACATCTGGGGATCTACCTATAGGGAACTCCTGATGTAAGCCCTTAAAAGGAAAATAAAGATGTAGGAATAGAATGCAAGATGTGGGGTTAACTCATAGAGGTAACACAATCCTCACATTGACAGAAGACTTTGAAATACCCAAGATGTAAAACAGCCCCCCTCCAGGCACACTCAGCTGTACTTCTAGATGTATTGAAAGCCTACTATATACCGTATATACTCGAGTATAAGACGAGTTTTTCAGCAAATTTTTTGTGCTGAAACCCCCCTACTCGTCTTATACTCGAGTCACTGTCTGTATTATGGCAACTTACATTGCCATAATACAGACAAGGACCGCCAGGCTCATTACGAGCCCGGCGGTCCTGTTGGGGGCTGGCAGGAAGCGTTTATTTACCTTTCCTGCAGCTCCTGTCAGCTCCCTTGCAAGTCTCGCGAGAGCCACAGGGTCAGAGCGCGGCACTCAGACCGCGAGACTGACAGGGGAGCTGACCGGACAGGAGGAGAGAGAAGGGAGCTGACAGGAGCTGCAGGAAAGGTAAGTTACAGTTCTCTGCCAGCCCCCCTCCTACACAGCCCATCCACTGGACCACCAGAGAATGAGAGCCCCCCTCCCTGACCAGCCAACAAGCAGGGAGGGGGGACAAAAAAATATAAATAATAATGTAAATAATAAAATAAAAATAAAATATTAATATAAAAAATAATAATAATAATTAAAAGAAATTAATAAAAATTCCCACCCCCCACCAAGGCTCTGCATCACACACACAAACACACTTTGCATCACACACACACACTGCACTCATACACACACCACATTATATACACACACACTGCATTCATTATATACACACACTGTAAATAAATATTCAATTAATATAATTTTTTGGGGATATAATTTTATTTATTTATCAGTAGCTGCTGCATTTCCCACCCTAGTCTTATACTCGAGTCAATAAGTTTTGCCAGTTTTTTGGGGTAAAATTAGGGGTCTTGACTTATATTCGGGTCGACTTATACTCGAGTATATACGGTACTAGTAAAAGCTGATAACTCATGCTGGCAACATTTGCAAATAAACAAGAAATGCATTCAGTGTAGATTCCAGTCATCCAAGGCGTAAAACAATAAATAAAAAATGTGAAGCAGAAACATAAAGACCCAACAATAAAGATAAGTTGATGCTTTGTCTTGGTTAACAGATGCCGGTCTGTTAACCAAGTCACCTAAACTACAACTTTTACAATGGGCAATATACCACACAAAGAATAAATATTAAATTGGTGAATTCAGAGCTGAAAAAGCACAAAGTGAATGAAGCATAAATTTAATGAAACAACAAATAAGAAAAAGAAAAGGGTGCATACCTCACTGGATTTGCAGACTACCTACAATCTACCCGTTCTTTTCTGTTTGACCCAATTTAAAAATGAAACCACTTACACTCTGATACGCATGTACAAACCTTTTAATATGTCACCATATAACCATATAATTCAACATCTTCAATGTATGTTGCCCCAATAAGCAGAAAAAGCTTCCTCTCCTTGCTGTGCACACAATCTTTGTCTGTGGCCAATATCCTAAGCTTAACCCTTCCGTGTCTGCTGCACCAATGTTAGCCTTCTGTTACCTGCTACACAAAGTGTTGACCCTTCTTTAACTGCTCTGCCAAGGGTTTAACCCTTCTTTACCTGCTGTGCCAAGTGTTTAACCTCTACTTTACCTGCTGCGCCAAGTGTTTAACCACCACTACTTTACCTGCTGCACCAAGTGTTTAACCACTACTTTACCTGCTGCACCAAGTGTTTAACCACCACTACTTTACCTGCTGCACCAAGTGTTTAACCACTACTTTACCTGCTGCACCAAGTGTTTAACCACTACTTTACCTGCTGCGCCAAGTGTTTAACCACTACTTTACCTGCTGCACCAAGTGTTTAACCACTACTTTACCTGCTGCACCAAGTGTTTAACCACCTCTACTTTACCTGCTGCACCAAGTGTTTAACCCTTCTTTACCTGCTGTGCCAAGGGTTTAACTTCTACTTTACCTGCTGTGCCAAGGGTTTAACCTCTACTTTACCTGCTGTGCCAAGGGTTTAACCTCTACTTTACCTGCTGTGCCAAGGGTTTAACTTCTACTTTACCTGCTGCGCCAAGTGTTTAACCCTTCTCTACCTGCTGTACCAAGTGTTAACCTTCTGTTACCTGCTGCACCAGGTGTTAACCTTCTGTTACCTGCTGCACCAAGTGTTAACCCTCTGTTACCTGCTGCACCAAAGATAACTCTCCTGTTGCAGCACATCACAAGACTGGCCATTCATTGCTTCTTGCCTCAATGTATTTATGTGGCCCCAAACCTATGTACTAATCCTTCTACTCTTGATTTTCTCTATCAGAATGTATTCCTTCTCTCCCTGTTACTCTAAATGACATAACCCTTTGTCAATGTTGCTGTAAATAAATAAAATGGAGTCCAAACCAGATAACTGCTTCTCTTGACACGGTTTCCCCAAAGCTATTGATTTTAGCATTTTATCTTCGTTCCCTCTAAGCACTACTCTGCCCCCTGCTAGGTCAGTTCCCATTATTATTATACTAATACTAATGGCCCTTGTAAGGACTATTCTACCCTCCCTGCTGGATCAGTTCCACTTATTATTAAATACTAGTAACCCTATAATAATGGCCCCTGCTGCCACGTTCCCTGTAAGCACTATTCTGCCCTCCCTGCTAGGTCAGTTCCCATAATTATTATTATACACTAGCCCTATAATAATGGCCCCTGTAAGCACTATTCTGCCCCCCCTGCTAGGTCAGTTCCCATTATTATTATTATACACTAGCTCTATAATAATGGCCCCTGTAAGTACTATACTGCCCTCCTTGCTGGGCCAGTTCCCATTATTATTATTATTATTATACCACTAGCCCTATAATAAAGGCCCCTGTAAGCACTATCCTGCCCTCCCTCCTAGGTCAGTTCCCATTATTATTATTATTATTATTATTCACTAGCTCTATAATAAAGGCCCCTGTAAGCACTATACTGCCCTCCCTGCTAGGTCAGTTCCCATTATTATTATACACTGGCCCTATAATAATGGACCCTGTAAGCAATATACTGCCCTCCCATTATTATTATACACTGGCCCTATAATAACAGCCCCTGTAAGCACTATACTGCCCTCCCATTATTATTGTTATGATTATACACTGGCCCTATAATAACAGCCCCTGTAAGCACTATACTGCCCTCCCATTATTATTATTATTGTTGTTATTATTATTATTATACACTGGCCCTATAATAACAGCCCCTGTAAGCACTATACTGCCCTCCCATTATTAATATTATTATCACTGGCCCTATAATAACAGCCCCTGTAAGCACTATATTGCCCTCCCATTATTATTATTATTATACACTGGCCCTATAATAACAGCCCCTGTAAGCACTATACTGCCCTCCCATTATTATTATTATTATTATTATTATTATACACTGGCCCTATAATAACAGCCCCTGTAAGCACTATACTGCCCTCCCATTATTATGATTATTATACACTGAGCCCTATAATAGCGGCCCCTGTAAGCACTATACTGCCCTCCCATTATTATGATTATTATACACTGGCCCTATAATAATGGCCCCTGTAAGCACTATACTGCCCTCCCATTATTATTATTATTGTTATTATTATTATACACTGGCCATATAATAACGGCCCCTGTAAGCACTATACTGCCCTCCCATTATTATGATTATTATACACTGGCCCTATAATAATAGCCCCTGTAAGCACTATACTGCCCTCCTATTATTATGATTATTATACACTGGCCTCCTATAATAGCGCCCCTGTGGGCAATTTTAAGTACTGCTCTCCCATTATGATTATTATACACTGCCCTGGTAATAGCGCCCCTGTAAGTACTCATACTGCCCTCCCATTGGCTATATTTTCATATACACTGGCCCTATAATAGCGCCCTGTAAAGCACCATATAATGCTCCTCCCATTATTGGCGATTGGCTACACACTGCCTCTGGCCAAGCTACATATAGTTAGTGTAATAAGGGAGGGTATAGTGCTTACAGGCCATGGCTACACACGGCCCCTGTGGGCACTATACTGCCTCCTATTATTATGATTATTATACACTGGCCCTATAATAATGGCCCTGTAAAACACTATACTGCTGCCCTCCCATTATTATGATTATTATACACTGGCGCTTATAATAGCAGCCCCTGTAAGCACTATACTGCCCTCCCATTATTATGATTATTATACACTGGCCCTATAATAATGGCCCCTGTAAACACTATACTGCCCTCCCATTATTATGATTATTATACACTGGCGCTATAATAGCAGCCCCTGTAAGCACTATACTGCCCTCCCATTATTATGATTATTATACACTGGCCCTATAATAGCGGCCCCTGTAAGCACTATACTGCCCTCCCATTATTATACACTGGCCCTATAATAATGGCCCCTGTAAGCACTATACTGCCCTCCCATTATTATGATTATTATACACTGGCCATATAATAACGGCCCCTGTAAGCACTATACTGCCCTCCCATTATTATTATTATTATACACTGGCCATATAATAACAGCCCCTGCAAGCACTATACTGCCCTCCCATTATTATTATTATTATTATACACTGGCCCTATAATAACAGCCCCTGTAAGCACTATACTGCCCTCCCATTATTTTTATTATTGTTATTATTATGATTATTATACACTGGCCCCATAATAACAGCCCCTGTAAGCACTATACTGCCCTCCCATTATTATGATTATTATACACTGGCCCTATAATAATGGCCCCTGTAAGCACTATACTTCCCTCCCATTATTATTATTATTGTTATTATTATGATTATTATACACTGGCCATATAATAACGGCCCCTGTAAGCACTATACTGCCCTCCCATTATTATTATTATTATTATTATTATACACTGGCCCTATAATAACAGCCCCTGTAAGCACTATACTGCCCTCCCATTATTATGATTATTATACACTGGCCATATAATAACGGCCCCTGTAAGCACTATACTGCCCTCCCATTATTATTATTATTATTATTATTATTATACACTGGCCCTATAATAACAGCCCCTGTAAGCACTATACTGCCCTCCCATTATTATTATTATTATACACTGGCCCTATAATAACAGCCCCTGTAAGCACTATACTGCCCTCCCATTATTATTATTATTGTTATTATTATGATTATTATACACTGGCCCCATAATAACAGCCCCTGTAAGCACTATACTGCCCTCCCATTATTATGATTATTATACACTGGCCCTATAATAATGGCCCCTGTAAGCACTATACTTCCCTCCCATTATTATTATTATTGTTATTATTATGATTATTATACACTGGCCATATAATAACGGCCCCTGTAAGCACTATACTGCCCTCCCATTATTATTATTATTATTATTATTATACACTGGCCCTATAATAACAGCCCCTGTAAGCACTATACTGCCCTCCCATTATTATTATTATTATACACTGGCCCTATAATAACAGCCCCTGTAAGCACTATACTGCCCTCCCATTATTATTATTATTATACACTGGCCCTATAATAACAGCCCCTGTAAGCACTATACTGCCCTCCCATTATTATGATTATTATTGTTATTATTATTATAATACACTGGCCCTATAATAGCGGCCCCTGCTCGCACTGACCGTGTGTATCTCCGTCCTCCAGCGGGAGGGGTCGGTTCCCCGGGCTCCCGGCAGCAGCCAGGTCCCAGCTGTCAGTAGGAGAACCATGACACTCCGGCTGCCCACAGCCGCCATCTCTGCAACCGAACCGGAGCCACACACGTCACTTCCGGTAACAGCCAGCACCACGTGACCGGAAGCAGCCGCTGCTCCCAGAGAGTCAGAATGTTTGTGTGAGAGAGAGAGAGAGAGAGAGAGACTGGCAGAGGAACAGAGGCAAGTGACAGTCTCAGACAGACAGACAGACATGTCAAGGGACAGAGAGAGAGACAGGCAGTCACTGGCAGAGACAGGGCTGTGTGATAATCAGATATACAGAGATACTTAGAGGGGCACCAAACACAGCCTTACCTTACTGAAGTGGTTATGGTGCCTAGGTCCTAGCCCCTGCAGTGTCACTGTCTAATTCTCTGCCATTTGTAGCTTACACTCCTGGATCTGGCTTTCAATTCAGTACAGTTCACTCCTTAAAGGGAAACTATAATGCCAAGAAAACAAAGTTGTTTTCCTAGGAATACACCTCCCTATACTGCCTCCCTCCCTCCCACTGGTGCAGAAGGGTTTAAAAGCACTAAATCGGGGTCCAACTTTACTCCTCACCGTGCGAGACAGAATACGAATGAGCGGCAATGGCAACGCTTGCATTAGGACTTCCCCCATAGGAAAGCATTATACAATGCTTCCTGGAATTTTACACAGTTTGGCTCTGTGAAACGGCGCTAGACCAGCAGAGAAAACCCCATAGGAAAGCATTGAGGCAATTATTTTCTATGTGAAAGACCTTATGTGCGTTCAGCTCTTGCCGCGCATGCACATTAGGTTTCCTCCCCCCCCCCACCAGTCTGAGGAGACAGGCTGTGACCATCGGAGCTGGAATCCAGTGAGTGAATGGTTATTCAACCCTTTACAACACCAGCAGGGACCCAGATGGGGGCTCGGGGGCAGAGAAAATAATTATTGTTAGGAATACATTTTTGTATTCCTAGTACTAAAGTGTTCCTTTAAGGAATAAACCTAATTGGAATTGTAGTGAACTGAATTTAAAACTGGATTCAGGCAAAAAAAAATTGATTTTGAAAAATATGCTAACTTGGCTATAGTCACAGCTAGCCTGTTTTAGCTTAAAGGGACACTATAGTCACCAGAGCAACTACAGCTTATTGAATTTGTTCTAGTGAGTAGAATCATTACCTTCAGGCTTTTTGCTGTAAACACTGTCTTTTCAGAGAAAATGCAGTGTTTACATTACAGCCTAATGATAATGTCACTGGCCACTTTTTAGATGAATGTTAGAGGTGCTTCCTATCTCAGTCTTGCCTAGTTTGCATCACAACATATCAGTATCTCCTTCCTCTGCATGGAGACACTGAACTTTCCTCATAGAGATGCATTGATTTAATTCATCTCTATGAGGAGATGCGGATTGGCCAGGGTTGTGTTTGACTTGTGTTGGCTCTGCCCCGATCTGCCTCATTTACAGTCTCAGCCAATACTATGGGGAAGCACTGTGATTGGCTCTGAACAACACTTCTGATGATGTCAGCAGACATGGGCAGTTCACAAGCACAGCCAGCAGCTGCAGACTTGAATACAAGTAAAATTATATTTTATTTAGGGAGGCAAGAGAGGGCCAGGAGGGCTAGATGGTGGCTTTAACACTATAGGGTCTGAAATATAGGTTAGTGTTCCTGAACCTATAGTGTTCATTTAACAACTCAACTTTCTATTCTCTACCATTTAGTGAAGGAACCCCTGGTTACAAAGCTGCTAAAACAATCATCAGGAAGCACTCTTGTGCCTGCCGTGCAAGGGACAGGTAATACAAGTACAGGTATCTAAAATATATGTTTTAAAGCTAAGCAATTAACCACTTAAGGACACAGCTTCAGAAGCTGGACTTACCTTTAAGGACACAAGCAATTTTTGCATATCTTGCTGTTCAACCACAATTTGCATCTCTCTCGTTTATTTCACTAACACATATTATATGCCTTTTTTTTAGAGTACAAAAAGGGCTTTAATTTGATCTGACATATACATATATAAATTCTCATTTACCGTATATACTCGAGTATAAGTCAAGTTTTTCAGCACATTTTTTGTGCTGAAAAATCCCCACTCGACTTATATTCGAGTTAATGTCTGTATTATGGCAATTTACATTGCCATAATACAGACCAGGACCGCCGGGCTCATTACAAGCCCGGCCGTCCTGTTGGGGGCTGGCAGAGAGCTGTTACTTACATTTCCTGCAGCTCCCTTCTCTCTCCTCCGTTCCGGTCAGCTCCACTGTAAATCTCGCGAGAGCCGCGGGGAACGCTCTGCGTGGTCGCGAGGCTTACAGTGGAGGAGAAGGGAGTTGACAGGAGCTGCAGGAAAGGTAAGTAACAGCTCTCTGCCAGCCCCCCTCCTGCACAGCCCATCCACTGGACCAGCAGGGAATGAGAGCCCCCCTCCCTGGCCAGCTAACAAGCAGGGAGGGGGGAGGAAAATAAATATAAATAAAAAATTAAATAATAATATAATTTAAAAAATTAATATATATACATAAAAAATAATAATAATTACAAAAAAATATAAAAATGCCCAACCCCCCACCAAGGCTCTGCATTACATACACACACTGCACTCATACACACACACACTGTATTCATACACACACTGCATTATATACACACACACTGCATTCATTATATACACACACTGTAAATAAATATTCAATTAATATAATTTTTTGGGAATCTAATTTTATTTAGAAATTTACCAGTAGCTGCTGCATTTCCCACCCTAGTCTTATACTCGAGTCAATACGTTTTCCCAGTTTTTGGGGGTAAAATTAGGGGTCTCGACTTATATTCGGGTCGACTTCTACTCGAGTATATACGGGTATTTAAAAAAAAAAAAATATATATATATATATATATATATATATATATATATATATATATATATATATATATATATATATATATATATAATTTACAGTTTTGGCGATAATAACGTGTGTATAATATGTCCAGCATAGAAAACATAATTCAAATAAAATTAATTTATGTGTCTTGATTAATAGAGTACATAATAAATGTAGGATTTCAGTTTATTTTGAAAGTTACAGGTCACAAAATGCAAGGACTAAAATAAAATTTCTGTGTGAAATAATTTTAGAAGTTGGTATGATTGTCGTATAAGTTTAAAAGCAATCACAGAAAACAAAGTTGCCACCGAAAGTATATATTTATACTCTAGACAAGGGGTCAGCAACGGCACTCAAGGCTGCCAGACAGGCTCTGGCCTATAAGGAGTCCCAGTGGGACTTCAGATATTCGCTAGTCCAACCAACCTGTGATTGCAGGTAATGAGGTTCAATCCTCAATGTACACATTGCAGCACTAACAGGAAGTAATCTCACTTCCTCCCCGCATATGTGAACGGGAACACGCGCTGGAGCGCAGCTCCTGCCCTTGATCCGTACCTGGCCAGCCTGGCTCCACTAGACACCAGGGAAGCCACCCACACTCCTAGATATACACAGAGCTGCAGAAGAAGCCTCCTTCTCACGTAAATAATACAAACAGCCCACACACAAACACAGTACTCACCAACACATCACCACTGGCAATCCAAACAATACCACAAACTACTCATGAACTTATACAATATGTTATTACAAGCACGCATAAGCACAAATACAAGGTTACAAAGTAACTACAGCACCCATAATAATACAGCAACATACACACCTCAATTTTTAGAAACCTAGGACTGGCACACAAAGGGACTTCAAGATTCTGTTTTGGCACAGTACTACTATAAGGTTGCCTACCCCTGCTCTAGACCACAAGGCTGTTTCAGCAGCATCCTCATCTAACTATTGTTCCTTTATCATTTTGTAAATGTCTAATTTATTGTTAAATCATTCAGAATATTGTAAGGCTCTGCGGAATAGTTGGCGCTATACTTATACCAATAATAATATAAAGTAGACATCACAGGCTAGTTACCTAAGGTTATTTTGACACATGTCCATGTCCCATTTTGGAGTATTCTAGCAGGTTGCTTATTCCAACTACACCACAAAGGCATGCCATTTCTTAAAGAAGACAACCCACGGTGTTTCAAAAGGTATAAGTCTTTATTTATAATCAACTCATGAGTGTGAGGAATCATGTTCAGATTATGAATGAAACATAAGACAAGGAAATACAAGAAGAAAATGCAGGTGCAGACAATAATAAATATTTTCTATACAAATTAACCCTTGAGTCGAGTTTTTATATTATTAAAATTAGTGGCAATTCGAGATGGGCAGGCTAGTGACCAGCCTTGTGAGCAATAAGCCTTGAGAAAAACTGCACTACAATTACAAACTCTGCATGCAGAGTGATAAACCAAGGCCAGCGTGCGAGAAAGAAAATAAAAAAGTGAGTAAAAGAATAAGAAACTAGGATGAATATGGGTCAAACTTTTCAGGAGTGTGTTGACTGTCCAGCTACTCTGCAGTGCGGGGAAACCAGGGAACTGCAGGCAACAGGCATAGCTCATTTGTAAACGCCTGTCAGCTCCGCTAGGAAGTGCCTTTCGTCAAAGACGAGTGAGTAGACGGGGTAGAGAGAATATGAGCCAGAGCGTATGGAAGCAGGGTATGCCTCTTTCTAGGCTTCCCTTGCATAATTCAAAGCAGAAAGGTATAAGTGTAAAAACTATTAATAATAATTAAAAAAAAAAACAGAAGCAAACTTTGAAAGCCACATATTACTCATTCAAATAAAAAGAACCACCTGGTGTCAATCAGGTGGCCCATAGCCTTATTTAGTGACCGTGGCATAAGTGTCTGGTACAGCCCCCTGGAGTATGCCTGGCTTGATCTTAGTCTGGTCCCATCTGGGTGTTACTTTAGACCCGGGGAGGCCAGGTTGCGACAGAGAGTCCCCTGGCAGACCTAAGGTGCTCAGGAGCACTGCTGCTACTTGCAGATCATGGACTGAGTGAGTAGCTTCTCCTTGCTGGATCTGTAGGGATCGCAGCGAGCTCCACCTATATTGAAGGTTGTTGGGCCGTAGAAGGCTGTATAGATTTTCTCCAAAGCAAGGTATCTCCCGAGAGATCTTGATAGAATGTAAGAGCCATGTTTTCAAATGTATATGGGGCCTTCCCCTTGAGAGCAGCCTGAACCATCATCTTGTCAGTAACATTGCGCAAGTGTATCACCATGTGCCATTGGTGGCACTCTCCGGGTTTTGGGGATTAAGAAGAGTCTGTCGAAGGCTAGATTCTTTGTTTGTTTGGGCGTTAGTAAGACCCCCATCAGCCTCTGCAGTAAGTGTGTGTATAGGAGTGTCCTCCGATTTTTTTTTTTTAAATTACTATGGTGCCTAGTATCCTCCATGCTGGCAAAATGCTGTTCTATGAGTGCTTGCTGTTTTTTAAAGTGTGCACTTCCAGCTGGAGCTCTGCAAGGGATAGAGCATGTTTCACTGTGAAGGTCTCCACCAATCCCAGGCGACATACGTGTCTTGTTAGGTCAGTACTTTCTTGTTGGAAAAGAAGGGAAGATACCCCTGACCTCAAGACTATAATCCAAAAGAAAGGTAAGGTAAGCATGAGATTATTCAAATAAGTTATTTAAATAGATTTCTGATATAAAGGAACTAAAAGGGGCAAAGTAGTCACTATAACCCTTTTATGTCTTTTTAATGGTTATAGTGCCTGGAGTTCCTTGGCACTGTCTCTTTATTCAGTGTTAAACCATTTTTTTTAGCAATTTAATAATAAATGAGGTGTCCCTGGCCCCTACACACTTCCTACTAGCCAGATCCATTCATACTTGCAGTGCTCCAATGTCAGGATCCACTAATATGCCCAACATGCAGAACTTAAGTAAAAATAAAGAAAACCCTAAGGCGTATTACCGGACCTTAGAACGGCGGGATTTAACGTGGAGGGAAAAAAGTGCAGGACAGGCTGGGGTCAGGGATACAGAGTGTACGTTAACGGTAGGCAAGCCAAAGGTCAAAGAATAAAGAAGTCAGAATAGTCAAATAACGATCCAAAGGTCAAGGAATACAGTAGTCAAAATAGTCAAATAACAAGCCAAAATCAAAATACACAAGAAACAATACCGTAAACGTGCTCGCGGTTAACCACAATGGAAACCACGGCAGGGCACTGAGAAATGTTCAAAAACGTTTTAAATAGCCTTAGGTACTCTAGGATTGGTTGCAGGGGAGCAGGTGACATCGGAACGTGCGTTTGACGTCACATGCATGTTCCCAATGGCCAGGGACTAAAGGGTTAACATGAGCTTTAAAATCACTGTAACTCTAAGCCTTTTTCTCAGAGCTATCGATTGGATAGCCCAGAATGAGAAGTTTACATGCAGAGTCTACACATGACACACAACTTGGGCTGAGATTTCCTCACAAGAGAGACAACGTCAAGCTATAGACTGTTTCTCTGCTCAGAGCAATATAAGATAAGATACCTCAATTCACTGAACTATAGTGATTATGGGGCCTGGAGTGCACTTTTAAGGCATTATTTTTATAATGCATTACAAATAATGAGTAATTATTATCCCATAGTTGCTCATAGTGATTAGTGGAAGGACATGTAAGTCTCTTTAAAATGAGGAATTGCAAGGGAGTGTTTGTTTATAGGGAGAATCTCTGAGATTGTATGGCCGTGGATTCCGGAGTTTAGATGTACCTTGAAAAAAGATCCCACAGACAGGAGTGGCATGGTTTAATCAAAGATTAAAAGATGAGGATTTTTGAAAGTAAGATGAGCCAGGTGGCTGCACCTTTTCTACAATTTTGACAGCAAGGTAGATAAGTAGATTGTTTTGGTAAATAATACGGTAAATAGATAAGTTGTCATCACAGTAAATAAGGTAATGAGTTAGTTTTTTTGTGTGAACAAGAAATGTAGGATTTAAAATGCTAGGTTTGAGGTAGATGTGCCTGTAACTGATGATGCTTCAAAACTATGAATTGACACCAATATAGTCAAATACGTTTGGTTAGTTATGGAAAGGGTAATATCGTTACTAAGGAGAGTGCGTGGGTAGTGATGAGGAAGTGGAGAGACAGAAGTTTATTAGTTCACTTTTATAGTTTCAGGTGTCATTGGGCATAAAAAAAAGTTAACAGGAAGGCAGTTGGTGACTTCAGATATGAGCGAACTGGCAAGTATTGACTGCTATTTAAAAAATAAAAAATGATCTGCTGGTGGACCAGAATGATAAGACCTACACCATCTCACCGATGGTCGATGCTTCCACCTTTCTGCAAATGCTGGGACTCTCTGGGGACTCATTGTTGCCATGGGAGCACCACCAATAGAATGTTGGCACTAGTATGTCCTTTGTGCCGGGACCCAGCATGTCTGTGGCAGAGAAACGCCCACCGTGGTGCAATTTAGCAATACTCAATGCTACTGTTTTGCCCTAGATCTGCAAACTCTCCCCCTCTATCTATCTCTCCTGTACCTTGTGTCAATCTTACACTTTTGCCACTTTTTCACTTCTAAGTTTATATATCTATATATGTATATCTATATGCTGTCTATTTCCATGGCTACTTAGAAACATAGAAACATAGGATGTGACGGAAGATAAGAACCATTCAGCACATCTAGTCTGCCCAATTGTACTTCTGCTGCCTTTGTATGAGAAATGTTATGCAGCCACTTGCTTAAAGGACCACTATAGTCACCCAGACCACTTCAGCTCAATGAAGTGGTCTGGGTGCCAGGTTCACCAGGTTTTAACCCTTCAGATGTAAACATAGCAGTTTCAGAGAAGGGTTAATCCAACCTCTAGTGGCTGTCTTCCTGACAGCCGCTAGAGGAGCTTCTGCGACGGTGAATGCGAAAATTGCATTCAGCGTGCAGAACGCGAAAATTGCATTCAGCGTGCAGAACGTCCATAGGAAAGCATTGAGTAATGCTTTCCTATGGGCGTTTTTAATGCGAGCGCGGCTCCGCATTTGGCTCCACTCGGGAGCTGATGTCTGAGGGGGTGGAGAGGTCACCAGTGCCGAGGGAGCCAGGCGTTAGATTAAAGTAAGTAGCTGAAGGGGGGCCCTGAGGGAGGGGGGGACCTAAGGGTTATATAGTGTCAGGAAAATAAGTTTGTTTTCCTGACACTATAGTGATTCTTTAACCAAAAAGAAAAATGTGGTTATTTTGGCTATTTGTGTTTTAATCTTTTGTGAATTGAGGCACCACTTTTAAAAATAAAGAATGGAGAATTTTTTTTTATAAAGTTACCAAGAGAAGAGGTGCTGAGGTAGAATGGTGAAATATCAAAGGCTGATGATTTTAGGACAAAAAGAGTGGAAAGCGGATGATGGTGACGTACTGCGAAGTCACAGCGTGCTCAGTTTGATTTAAGCCAGGCAACAGCTGCAGCATCATAATTATGGAGTACAACTAACTGAGATAAATTTGGTGATTAGCATTGAAATATTCTAAGGATGAGTAGGTAACGCAAAAAAACCTTACACATTAGTGATCCTGCAAGTATCTGGGACCCCCAATTTCAGTCAAAAATCTTGAAAATAGTTTGATCCTGAACTGGCAGATTTTATCTGCAGCCTACTAGTACCATAACCACTACACTGACATGTCGTGGTTATGGTGCTTAGACCACACCTTTTGCATGGGCAAGTTGGAACATTTGTTCCAGGCTGCCTGATTGACAGGCTTAGAGATGCAACATTTTTTTTTTTTTTTTTTTACAAATTTCTGTAGTTCCAAGCCCCTCCAAGAGATAATGTAAAGTTGTGATTGTGCTTCGAGTGATCCTTTTAGTAGGTTTAATTATCACTAACCTAATAACAAAGGTAAACTTAAACAGTTGGCTTCTTCACTATAATACTCAATTTTAAATAGATTTTACCTAAACCGTAACCAGACCTTAAATTGAAACTCATACACCTATCTTCCTAATACCAGCTCACTCTATGCCATGAGTTATACGCTAACCATATACTCTAAAATATGACTTGTTTCTGTAACCCTAGCCTTCAAAGTAGAGTTAGTGTTTGGGATGTGGGATTACACTGAAGTGGTCATGGTGCTTCGAGTCTGCATGTTCAGTGTTTCAGTAAGAAACCGTACACATACAGTAATAATTAACTTTGATACTGGAGCTAAAAGTCCACCTCCAGCTGCATCATTCTCAATCCCGAGCAAGAGTTCCTAAATCTTTGAATTGATTGCATCCATTGTCAGTATGGATAACATGCTGGTAACAGACAACCAGTGGTGAAACAGCCCCCGCTCCCTGTGTCACCTTAAGTCCTCTCTCATTCCTGCCTCCCCCTGCAGTGCTGTGGAATGATGGCACAAACAGAGGGTTGGTCTGTCGGGACCAAATGGCTTCAGCACAGAATTGCAGGTACATTTCACAAAAAACAGGGTTTTATCAAAACACTAGTTATGGTTGGAGAAACCCATAAGATATTATGGTACAGAAACATCCGATCCTTATTATTCTGGGTATCCCAGAAGTTTTCATCTGCTTTCCAGCTGTAGATTAATAAATATGTTAATTGCTAGAAGTGTTATCAACAACCTGATGAAAAGGCTTTTTGCAGGATGAAGTCTGGAACACAGTGCATCTCTGCTGATTTGCATGTCAAACTGGGAATTCTGGGATAGTTGTGGAAACATGGTTTCTTCAGTTTCTGTGCACATTGGGAACTTTCTAAAGTCCCATGTGTGATATGCAGTGATGCACAATAGTAATTGTTCTATGATATATCATAGGAATTAATTATTTTACCTTTGACCACTTAGTCTGTCTGACTTAATGTGGCTCACACCCAGAGAAGTGACATAATGAAGTGTTATATCACACATGTTCATTAGGTGTCACTGCTTATATCAGAAGAACGAGAACGCAACCATTAAGAGGGTTCACTGAACTATGAGCTCCATGGAGTCCGCACCACTTCCCCTTCAACCCTCTGAAGCAGATGACATTATTCAGGGGTAAGTGCATTATGAGTTATAGTTATTTTGGAATGGGAAGTTGTACGATTATTATATAGAAACGTTATTGTTTTTAAAAATTTTATTTCCAGTGGTTAATCTTTAACCCTTCTACATTTTATTTCCAACGGTTAACCTTTAACCTTTTAATTGTTTGCAAAACAGAGCTTTACTGTGTAATTTAGTATCCGAGATCTTCGAAGTTAGAAGTTAATAGCATGCATTTCTCACTGGGCTATAATTTACAGTTTATTTGTACTTTTTAATAGCTTTACTTTTTTAAAGATTCACTTCTATTGAGCATACTCCAGTTCTCACATTTTGGTTAGAGAAATATAGTAAATTATTAATAATATGCCAACCGTTGAAAAATTATCTGCACACCAGCAGTCACACTGTTCAACATGTAAAAATAATTTTCATTGAAATGTATATCTTGGTAAATTATCACTTACCAGTATATTTAATATTTTCTTTACTTATCCTCTACTTATCTACTCTAATTTTGAATATATTTCTTTGCTGTTGGAGTAGATTTTTTTTCAGTGTAGATTACTGCCCATCCTTTGTTAAATAAATATAAGAAAAATAAATAAATTGTTAAATGTACCTGTATTCCAGTGCTAAGATAGTCTTTACTCAGCATCCCAATCCTCCCAATGTAAGATCACCAAGCCTGATAATGTATTGTCCAATAAGATGCATTTCACAAAGAAGTGTTGGAGATCTATGGACCTTGTGTGGCAATCACCAAACTCCACCAATCTCACAAACGTGAATACCTTCAAAACTCGGAGGTCTAAAAGGAGCAAGCAGCTCTTCCGGAGACCTGACTGCAACTAGCGGCACTTTTTCCTTTGTTTCTCAGAAATAGCAGGATTTTTACATTGTCTGCGAAAAGGGACAGCAGACAATGCGCCAAAACCACTATATGAAGTTGTAGTGGTTTTGATGCATAGAGTTTTCCATATGCATTTGAGAGGTTTAGCAAATAAAATTAAATGCAGAAATCTACACTGCTGTATCCTAAAACTGAGTGACACCTTCTTGGCACCTGTTAATCATTGTTGTCAGTATTGCCCTTTGTACCTTTCAATCGAGCGAATATCAATAGAAACAGATGAAGATACAGCTGAGGATGAAAAAAAAGCATATGATAGTGTTATACTGTTATAGTATATCAGGGGTGCCCAAAATGCTGATCCCCAGATGTTTTGAAACTACAACTTACATAATGCTTTATCATTCTAAAAGTATTCCAAGGGAGTTGTAGTTCTACAACATCTGGAGATCTACTTATTCGGCACCCCTGTAGTATACATCATACTGGCAAGTAACACTCACAATTTGTAAGGGGCACATAAAATCCTGCGGGGCTTATCCGTTTTAACCCTTTTTTTTCTTGAACTCCACTGCATAATTCTGCAGGATTCAGCAGGTAATAGCAAAGGCTTCTATTATTAGAATAAAAGTTGCAATATAACAACAGTTCCAACACATTTCTTCACTCGGACAGGGCCTTCCTCAGGGTCCAATAATGTAAACAGGAGTCTACTAAAATCATGGTACATTCAGAGTTATCATTAGATATAAGGCAACACTTTCTAACTACGTCCCAATTCCAAAATACTATACTAAGTATAAAGCCAGCACTTTGATAGCTTTATCTATTTAATTCCAGAGTGCTTACCGAGAACAAAAGTAAATTCAAGACACCAAATCAGATTGGATTTTACAGGTAAAGTGTTTTCTACAATAATATATATTGAATATATTTTGAATTTTCCCAGATACTACTGAAAATTGCATTGTACTGCAGGTTATGTTATAATTTAGGAGCGATATTGATTTGTCTTGGTAACTTCCATCTTCTGTACCATTACTGATTATTATTATTATTATTATTATTGCCATTTATATAGCGCCAACAGATTCCGTAGCGCTTTACAATATTATGAGAGGGGAGATTTTACTATAAATAGGACAATTACTAGAAAACTTACAGGAACGATAGGTTGAAGAGGACCCTGCTCAAACGAGCTTACAGTCTATAGGAGGTGGGGTATAAGACACGTTAGGACAGGAAATAGCAATCAAATAAGGTGGGAGTGAAGCAGAGCTGGAGGAGATGGTGGAGTGCTGCCCTAGAGGAGAGAGCAAGAGACAGGTATGTAAGGTAGAGGTTACTCTGGGAGGCCATGAGCTTTCCTGAAGAGATGGGTTCTAAGGGTCTGCTGATAAATGAAATCAGCTCAGGTATATAAGTACTGTTTAGCAGTATGAATGCAGAGTAAAGACATTGGCTTTATGCCAGTAGATCTGTAAGCAAATGCGTGTAAAGTCAAACAAAAATGCTAACTTGCTTCCGACCAGACATGGACAACTTGTTTATGGATTATCAAGTAGAGTATTAGCAGCAGTACCTCACTGATGAAGCTTGTGATAGACAAGAGTTCCTCGGGTGGCTGTATGGCTGGATCTTTCATGGTGAGGGACCTGTCTAGCATTTTGGTTCTAGACTCTGGACAGTCTCATTTGCAGATGGTATAGACATTCTGAGTGAGAATTCCATTTTTGGCTAATCTTGGTTGGTGTCTCTTAAGCTTTTTTTTTTACTTTTTATTATTATTTTTATTTAATGGTGACATTTTTTAATTGTAGTATCGGACATTTTAATGTATGTGGCAATAGGTCCTCCAACAAGGCTCTCTAATTTTATTGTTTTCCTGCTCGTTGAGCAGTCCTATGTGATGAATAAACTATACTACTCGTGATATGTTCAGTATTAATAAATGATTTTCATACAGACGGCAGAAACTCCTACTCCCTGGTCAGTCTTTATATCATGCTCAGTTGGACACTTTTAAGATTGATGATGAAGGTGCTTCCCTCAGAATCATTCACCAGGACACCAACGTAAGTGTGCAATAAATGTGCTTATACATTTGGATCTCATAGTCAAAACACTGCATGATAAATTTAACACTTTAAACCACAAGCATTAAGCGTCTATAAGGGGCACTGACAAAAACATTTAAAAAAAATTTCTTGCAGGTTCCATATCAGCTACAAGTCATTGCACTGAAAGGTGGTATTGTGAGGCTGAAAATTAAAGAGTTTTCCCCGTTGAAGTCAAGATACGAGGTCTCTGATGTCTTAATTAAAGAGACAGCCACTGAGAGGTTAGACCAAAACATTATTATATTTGTATAGCGGTACACATTTCTGCTCTGGAAATATTGGCTTTTTCTCGATCACTTTTGTAAATGCGAGCATTTTGTGTGTCGTATTTGCTGTAACATTAACTATAACCAAAGGAAAAATTATATTTTTGATATTTTGATCCAATTAAGTCTTCATATATAAAAGGAACAGAAAGTTTACTATCCCTGTTAATACCCAGAATGGGTAATGACTTGTTGTCAATTAAATCCTATTGTAATCATATTATAATACTGTTATAATGTAATATCCTGGGCGCTACATAAATACTAATAAAAATATTAATAGGAAAATTCTAAAATATTAGATTAAAGCCCATGGGTTTCTTCTTTTCTGCTTTCGTGCTAGCTTGTCTAATTATACATCCCTCTGTCTGTAACAATATGTAATCGTTATATAAATAAATATATATTAAATATTAAACGTAATATTAATTATGATTCACTTTCATATGTTTTGCTCAGTGCGTTCCTAACATGATTAGTTAGCACATAACATTGTAGTCATACTGTTCTCATAAAAAATGAATTCCTTATAAAGATACACATGGTGACACTTTTGTTTTTCCAAGTAGGTTTCTTGTTCTGTGGGGTTTATTCGCTAAATCAGGATATGTGGAGAACTGTCTAGTTAGTGAATTGCCCATTTAAAACGAAAATGTCCACATTGCAAAAGCAGCCAAGTTGTGAATTTTGCCAATTATGGACAGTTTTAAGTCTCATGTGTATTAAATCCCAAGCCTGCTACTTTTTAGGGATATGTTATGTGAGGTCTTGTATGTTTAGCGTCCCATAAAAATAATATGTACGCAATTAGTAACACTGTATTTATGATCTAATTTCTCTTCTGCTGCCACTATATTCTTGATGTGCTCTGATACCAGCTTCAGCTGTGACAGATAATCTGCTATTTATGTCAGCGCTCATCTACTGTCTTGGCATTTAATAGTAGCACTGATGGCTACTATGTGGACAGATGTCGAATGTCATGTTCAAGGCCTCCCCATGCTAGTGGTAGCCACTGCCTTATTTGCTTGCAGTTAAAAGGTGATAGTTTACTAGTTACCTGCAGGTGTTTTATGTGGTGAAAAGCGTGGTAATGTTTTGTAATGCTGTTCATCCTCAGGTTTAGTGTGTCCAAACAGGAATCGGACAACGTAGTTTTGGACTACCAGAATGGCCTGTATAAGCTGCATATCGCCGCCTACCCGTTCTCCGTCACTGTAACACAGGATGAAAAGGCCTTGCTCGGTATAAATTCCCAGGGCCTTTTGTACTTTGAGTCTGGAGTCTCATCACCACCTGGAAGGTAGGGAAGTGCAGTTAAGCAAAGCAGGGTTACATAGTTCTGCTTGTGTGACTTTCCATTTAAGAAGGATATAGAATGTATTTGCTGGGTAAATAAGATATTACTGCTAGAAAAATACAGAACGAGCACAGCCCACCTGTGAGTAAATACATTTATTTCCAGAGACCTAGAGCTCAGTCTGACTGTGTGTCCTGTATTTTGTCTCCGTTATTTGTCCAGGAAACTTGCCTTCTTTGTATTGAGATTTTCTGGTACTTGATACAGGCGTATTTATATCTCTTAATCTGCTGTTTTATTTGTTTTTCATATTTTAACAGTGTGGCTACAGTAGGTGATATTGATGCACCACAAGATTCTTCCAAGGTAAAGTTCACTACCAGGGCAGCTACCAATACTATGTACTGATAGCAGGTTAGGGATTCCCATTGTGTCAGTAATATTTATCATCTGTAATTTCTTGACCAAGTATATAAATTATTTGTTTATACGTTCAGTGGGGAGATATATTTTTTAATTCAATAGTGAATTGTTCATCATGTTTTTAAATGTTATTTTAGTAGCAACTGGCCATAGTTAAAGGGACACTCCAAGCACCAAAACCACCACACCCACTGAAGTGGTTATGGTGCTAGGAATACCCGTGCACCATCCCAGTGTAATTTGTCAAACCAGTTTACAACAGTTTGACAAATTTCTCCTGGGTCTGGCAGTGACTCCTCAAACATGGCATTTATCTTGCACCAAGTTAGAGGTGCTGAGTCTGTTACTTTATATTGTTTCCGTGTTTGCAACGAATATAGGTTGTTACATCCTTTAAATCTGCAGCATTTTCCCTCTCCTCCCAGCATTTTACCCCACCAGCCTTTTAGCTTTTTTTTCCCTCTCCTATACTTTCCATATTGTCCGTTAGATTGTCCTCTTGTGCCTTCTAACCCTATGCTCCTTCTTCTTTTCAACTTCAAGACATGAGTTAGAATAGAATAAATATAGAATTCAAAGTGAATTTCAAGTTTCAGGCCAAACTAGCAGAACTGGCATCCTGACTGCCTTAGAGAATATTTCCAATTCAACTATTTTAACCTTAAATCTGAAATTCACTTTGAATGAACTCTTTAAGTCTCTCTTTTTCTTCACCAGCCCTGCCCCTCAGACATTTGTTCCAGTTCATCTTTCATCTGATCATCACGATGTCTCACTTTAGCATGTATTCACTGTTAGGTCCATCTTTATTGATTCTCACAATTTTATTCCAATGTCTTCTCTATTACAACAGGAAGAGTTTGGACTCTGGAAAGAAGAATTTGGAGACTTTTTGGACCGTAGTAAGTCATTCTTTCTTTCAATGAATCAAATATTGATTCCTTAAACTGCCAAAATGTACCTCCATATTTTAATTCTTCACAGGTCTAACTTCTGTGGGGCTTGATTTTTCACTTCATGGCTTCGAGCATGTGTATGGAATACCGGAACATGCAGATACACACAGACTCCAAGACTGTGGGTGAGATTATAGTGTGGTTCTATATATTTGTGTATGAGTTAGGGTTGTGATTCATAAAAAAATACTTTTGCCGTTTCACCATCTCTGGTAAGATATGTTCTTTATGAAATATATTACTGTTTTGTATAACAGACAGGTGTGCTGAAAAAGGCGCTTAAATAAAACAATACGTGAAAAAAGAGAGCAGCTGTGTAACACTCAGTGGATATCCGCAAATCCACAAAAACACAAACTTCCACTCAATCGTTAGGTAATAAACCACACCAGATAAAACATAAAAGTGTGAGTGCAGCACTTATGGCATGAACACTTATCCCGCCTCATATATTCAAGGGATTATCACCATGTACATATAGAGTAAAGATAAAAAGAAATACAAATAGTGCAATATTGTTTAAACCATAAAAATATACATATATTAGGTGAGTGTATGTAAAACTCACATTTACCAGAGCCTTTTAGCAATATAGGCTCTAAACAGAAACACTTCTGGGCCTTAATAGGTAGTAGCCTATCCACTCACCAAATCTGAGAGGATCAGTAGAGCTTTTGAGCCCTGACTCAATCAGGAGCAATTTGTTTGGCAAAAAAGTGCCGTTTTGAGGAACTCAACTCATCGCGGGTTGACTGTTTTTTAATTTTTACATTTAAATAGACTGTGCATGGTAATATATTAATGACTTAAAAAGAGGAATAGTTGACTTATTTTACACGAACACTTTTTTTTGTCGGTAGTAGTACTAAATTCAGCTACCTCCCTATATAAAATGTGTTTACATACAGTCATGGGAAAAAGAAAGTACACCCTCTTTAAATTCTGTGGTTTTACATTTCAGGACATAATAACAATCATCTGTTCCTTAGCAGGTCATAAAATTAGGTAAATATAACCTTCACAGTAACAATAGGACATGACATATTACACCGTGTACTTTATTTTTTCCATGTAGACCATTTTGGTTATTTAAAAAGTGTCTAAGAAGTTCTTCTGTCAAAAAAACACCTTGCAAAATAAAACAATATTAGGGGCTTCTCTGTTTATTAATATAAATAACGGTACACAAAATCCCAAAAGTTCATGTAAAAACTCCCAAATGTCCTACCTAGAACCACCACTTGTAGTTTAAGGATGTAAGAGACCCTTACTTGCAGCATTGTGATTCTGTTGGAATTCCACCAGTGAAGCTAAGAACACAAAAAAACAAATGTCTTCAAAAGGGTGGACACACAAAATAATTGTGTTTGTTGTGGAAAAATAGTTTGAAACACGAGAAAAAGTTTGGCAAACTAGGAGAGCCCACAACCATACTAAGACACCAGCCACCTAGACAGTATCTTCTGACTGTTGTACAATGTACAAATCGGCAATCCTAAGCTACCACCACTATAGAGATAAATAAAACCATGTATTTTCTATCTTTATCCCAGGGACAGCGAGGTATACCGTCTGTACAATCTGGATGTGTTTGGCTACAGTGTCTGTAATAAAATGGGGATATACGGATCAGTGCCACTGCTCTTGGCACACAAACCTTCACACACCTGCGGGATTTTTTGGCTCAACTCCTCGGAAACGATGGTGGAAACACACTATAAAGCGTCTCTGCAGGTAGAACATGCCAGATATTACCTAAAAAAATTAGACTTCATCATCATTTCCATGGGATGCTGATGCACAAAGGGATAGACCTGTTAGTATCAAAGAGTCAATTCACCACCAATTTAACATTCATGTTCTTTATGTGCATTACAGAACCTACTATTTGACCAGTATTAGAAAAATGTATGTTTCATAACTGATGGCAAACAATTGTATTAATCTGGAACTAGACAAGCATCAAATTAAAATAGAAATACACCAACCCAGTTTAGACGTTTATAGCCCTTATGATACCGATACATGGTATGAGAAATGGGTTATTCCAAGCATCACTTCAGTGATATGAATCGGTCATGGTGTCTGGGGACTGTACAGGGTTGAACCCCTCTGCTGCCAGAGATGTAAGTCTATCTCCAGCAGCGCCACGGAGGCGTCATCAGCCAGTTAATCTAAATTCTGTGCATATTTCTATGCACAAGATTGCATTCATTTTCTGAGTAGTCAGCTGATGCTCTCAGTCAATGAATGGAGTGGACATCTGGTTTTTGCAGATCTTCAGAAGCTGGATACGTGTCACCAGGGTAGGTAAGACCCACAACACCCGGTGTCGACCCAGGTAAAAAGGCAAAATGATTAGTCCCTTTGCCGTGATACAGGGCCAGGGTACTCTTTACATCATAACCCCTAGTGGGCTGTAGTAGTTATGATGCTTGCAGGAACCCTTTAACTCACTTTCTATAAAGCATGATCACACATTAGTGTGAAATTATTATTTTTTAATAACTTATTGCTTTCCCTTTTACATTTGAATGATTTCTATGATTCTTGCCCAGACTGAATTGTCCCAAGCTGCTCCAGTTACACGGAAGAAGAAAGCTGTGCCCATGGTGGATGTTAGATGGATGTCGGAGAGCGGAATAGTGGACGTGTTCTTGTTATTAGGTCCTGCTCCTCAGGATGTGTTTAATCAGTATGCACAGCTCACAGGTAATAGTCATGCTGTTTGTTTTCTTTAATTCATAGTTTATTGGAGGGTGAGAAAAAAACATGTAGGTAGCTTGTTCAACCATATACTTATAAAAGTCATTAGAGTAAGAGCGCGTGTTCAATCACACCAGAGTCATTAATAATCTGTTAGTTTTATGGAAGGGAACAAATGAGGACAGGAACATTAATTATGAGAACACAAGTTTCTATGCTGCTGCTTTTAAAGCCTGCTGTATTTTTACTTAATACTGAATTTCCAATCTTCTAACACGGTCAGGGTTAGTCACTAAGCTCATAATTTTCACAAATTAAATCCAAACAGGAAAACTGATGACTATGGTTGAGTTAGAGATTTTATTTTCCAAATCAGCTTTTTTTGCCTCACTTTTGCCATTCATATTTAATTTGCACAATTTGGGAGTTTAGTGAATAATCCTGTGTGCATGACGTGATATCAAAAACCAAAGATCAGATGTGATTACAGGTTTTTTTTAATCCAGTAAATTTATCTGGAAGATTTAGAGGACTGATTAATACCTCTTTGAAGGACAGATTGCAGGAATAATTGTGATTGTGAGAGACATTGCTGGACACAGCCGGCTACCTCTTTCACTCCATCTTGGCTGAGATCCTGTTGGCTGTGTACTTTGGACCTTTATAAGAAAATCGAGCACTCTGTAAAGGCGGTAATTGCCTGTGGTCCTTCTCCTTCCCACCAAACCTGAAACCTAGTTTATAGAATGTACTCTTAGGAACAAGAGATCCTTCCACTTTGTGGTTTTCCAGATCTATGTGTATACAGCTGCTGCCATTCTAATTCAGCCATCTACAAATCAGGAGAGGAGCTGAAGAAACAGAAAGAGTTCAGTTACTTCTCCCCAGCTTCTCTGCCAGGATATCATCAGAAGAGAAGCAAATTGTAGCTGCAGCCCAGGGTGTTCCTACCGGTACTCTTGTTCCAATTAGGCTAACAAAATATCTCAGTATGTGCGCCATTTCATTCTGAAATGCTGCACACACAGGGTCCTTGCACCATGACAACTTCAAAACACAGACGTGGTCATGGTGCTTGGAGTAATCATTTCAGATGGCTTATCTGTCATGTATTTGTGTGCAATGTCAGGGACCCAGGCTTTTCCTCCTCGCTTTTCCCTGGGCTATCACCAGTGCCGCTGGAACTATGAGGATGAAGCAGACGTGGAAGCAGTGGATTCAGGTTTTGATGAACACCACATCCCCTACGATGTCATCTGGTTAGACATTGAACACACTGATGGGAAGAGATACTTCACGTGGGATCCAGTTAAGTTCTCAGATCCACTTCAGATGCAGAAGAAACTACAAGAAAAGAAACGCAAGGTATGGTAGACTTGAAGCGTAAGGTTCTGTAGAACACACAGTAACACAGCATTGTAATCTCATAGAGATCTGCAGTGGTAAATACTGCAGCCATTACCATACAGAATATATTGTTTTACTTCTGTTTACATTCACTTCAAGTATTTTCTTTCTATTTCAGTTAGTCGTCATTTCCGACCCTCACATTAAAGTTGATCCGAATTATTCACTGTATGCAGAAGCCAAGGAAAAAGGTTTCTTTGTGAAGGACAGAAATGGGGAAGACTTTGTTGGAACCTGCTGGCCAGGTTAGAATTCTTTTACATCCACAAACTCTGTTATATTAAATTACTTTGTTTAGCAGGGACAATAAAGAGTGTGCATAAGACGTTAGCGTCAGTTTTGTGTGAGCTATTGGGAATTATACACTAAGCCACGATATTAGAATAATTGGCAAAGGAATTGAAAATATTAGACCAAAATATCCAAGCTGAATTAACTCCAGCTCGGTTCTTTTGGTCTAAATCTCTCTGCCGTTGGTCCTGACCTCTCTCATTCATCCTTCCAGCAAGTCTGCCTCTGAAAAACAAACATTCTCTTACAACAAAAAGGTATTCAGTATTCTCTGTGGAAGAGATATGATATAAGAAAACAAATAAAAAAGATATCTGAAATCCACATGGTAAAAAAAAACCATAAAACAAGTATTATGTTCTGCTTCTTAAAAATGGCAGTTTAAAACTAGTTAAAAAAGCTAATAAAACATAAACTATTCTGCTATTTAGTATAGTTAAAGGGACACTTTAATTCCAAAATGAAAAATAAAAACACTATTTAGTAGATATATCCCCAATGAAAACGTATGTATTTAATAATGCATTTTTTTTTATTGGCGGTAGATCTAAACACAGCTTTAAAAAGCTCAACATGAAGTCTGTGCAAGGACACACTCTTCATCAAGCTAAAGTGCTTTAGGCCCCTGGAGTGTTCTTTTAACACAGTTTATAACAGGATGTTCTAGTGATTGACAACAGAGATTCAGTTAGAAGATTTTTCTTAACTCCTTCAAGATCACATGGACTCTGCAAAGGAAGATTTAACCCATTATTAGGCTTGTTAATCTAGAGCCTGTTTGGGGAACTGGAATTAAAGTTGGGTTATGTGTTTGTTGTATGCGAATCAGCATCACTGTTAATAATAAAGTGTATTATTACAAATGGGAAAAAATGGGATGTAAAGCAGCAGTCACAAGTCACAGCATTGTTCCCTTTTAACCTAAATTATTTTTTTTTAAATATATTTATCGCTAAATTTTGGTTCCCTTATAAATAAGGACAATTATAGTGTTGCCATGTTGTTCATTGTAATTTATAATTCTTAAAAGCAGTGCATTTTGATATATAGTCACTTATAACACCGTACATTGTGATATATAATCATTTATTTCACTTAAAAGCAGTGTATAATGCAGGGCCAATGTTCAGCATCTCCATGATCTGCATAGAGATGTTAAATGCTCCTCATAGAGATGTACTGGTTTAATGTATCTCTATGAGGAAATGCTGATAGTTGCAGTGTTGTGATTTGCTGCACATGCACATAGCCTCCCAATGCTTTCCTGTGAGATTGATGATCTCAGCCAGCAGAGGTGGGGTGGGCGCATGAAGGGGCCTGAGAATATAATTAGTTAGTAGAACACATGTTTGTATTCCTAATGTTAAAGTGTTCATTTAACAAGCTAACACAGAAGACCTAATGCAATCTGCTAAAATAAGGTTGGCTTAATAAAAAAACAAAAAATAAGTCCCATCAATAAAAGTGGCAGTACATATCCTCTTTTTAAAATATATCAATAAAAATATGGAAACTGTTTATATGATGGTGCCCTCAAGAATTACACCAAATATTATATTAATTTCATATAGCACACACTCATCAATCAATTCCCTAAATTTAGCATTTTTCTTTTCTGACATACCACATCATTGTTCGGGATATAATACCCCATAGCTTCTACAGCACCACAAACACTTTATAACACTGTGTATCTAACAATAGTAGTGAACAAATAACATAGAGCACACTAAAGTGGCAAAAAACCAACACCACATATTATAAACACCCTACAAAAAGAAAAAAACATTTATATGTTGCTTTTGACGGATATAAAGTCGATTTCTCTAACTGAACATGACCAAAAAGGCCATAAAAACCCACATATAGTGCAGTGCTAATTATTAAAGGGACACTGCAGGCACCCAGACCACTTCTGCCCATTGGAGTGGTCTGGGTGCCAACTCCCACTACCCTTAACCCTGCAAGTGTAATTATTGCAGTTTTCATAAACCTCTCCTCTAGTGGCACTTCTGTGTTTATAGCACATGAAAAGTGTGCTATACCGTTGCTGGATGTCCTCACGCTATGTGAGGACCTCCAGCGTCGCTGAAATCCCTATAGGAAAGCATTGAAACATTCTTCAATGCTTTCCTATGGAGAGGTCTAGTGCGTGTGCGCAGCATTGCTGCGCATGTGCATTAGGTCTTCCCCGCCGACGGCCGCGCATGCTCAATAGGTCGGGGGAGAAGCGTGGGCGGATCCTGACCCAGCGCCCAGGGACATCGGTGCTCAATACAGGTAAGTCACTGAAGGGGTTTTAACCCCTTCAGCAACTTGGGATGGGGTGTGGGAGGAGAGGGGACCGGTTGGTTTTCCTGGCATTGGAGAGTCCCTTTAAGAATGCTCAGTAATTAACAAGTTTGTAAGACGCAAATAAACAGTCTGTTGTATTTTGCCCCTCAAGTCTGTGGTTGTGGTTCCTCTTTTATTTGCTGAAGTGAGATTCTCTGTCTGCTCTGTCTCTGTTCTAACATTACGAACTTGAAAGGAGAAATTTGTCCAAGAAAACCATTGAAGTCCATCAGAACCAATGCTGCCAGGACAAACATGGCATTGTTTTCACCTTCGGATTGACGTTGACCATAACACCAGCAAAGGTTGAAAGGTTACCGGGCTTGCCAGTTTTACGGATGGTAGAATTAAGGAATATTGTTATCAAGGAGAGGCAGAGTTCTGTTCATTTCTTCTCAGCGGCGTTAACAGATTTTACAGCTCTGCACTAATATATATGATTTTTTAAATTTTATTTATCTATTTTTTAGGTTCTTCTAGTTATCTGGACTTCACAAAACCTGCTGTACGAGACTGGTACTCTTCTCAATTTGCACTAGATGCCTATAAAGTAAGTTTTAGGTTTTGATATAGTATTTTTTTTTGCTCAAATACTGATTAAATAAAAAATAAAATAAATTAGAAATCAGCGAAGAAAGTCTCTGGTAAACAGTTAGTATGAGTGTATCAAGTGTGCAGGTGCTCATCAAGTTCTACCAACAATTTTCTACAGCACATGGGTCCATTATTTAAACCCATTTAGCACCCTGCCTATGTTGACAGCATGAATCCCGTAAGATAAGGTTGCTGATAAAAGGAAAACTAGCTGAGCTAAGTAGTGTCTATCTATAAAAAAAAACATTATACAATTGGAACAGTGGAATATAAGTTTAAATCTTTGATTTAATTATCCCATATACTTTTTGGACCACACCTATATATGCTTTTTTTTGTTTATAGCGACTCCGATTCATTAGGGAGCCTATAGTGCGAGGAAAACAAAGTTGTTTTTCTGGAAATATAGCTCCCTATAGTCCCCTCCCCATCCCCCTGTATTGCAGAAGGAGTTAAATACCCCTTTATCGAGCGCCGATGTCCCACTTGAGGTTGAGTTAACCCTGGCAGGTAATTATTTCATTAAAACTGCAACAATTACCACTGCAGAGTTAAGGGACTTGGGACAGTGCTCCCAGACCCATTCAATGAGCTGAAGTGGCTTGGGTGCCTATAGTGTCCCTTTAGTATTCCACTAGGTGGAGCTGGACACTAGTAGATTGTATTCTAAGTTGTTCACTGATGTGAGGAAGTACAAAAAAATAATTTTATTTTTCATTTCCTAAAATTAAATGTGAGAAAAAGGTTTTTTTTTTTCTTTTTTAAATCTCAGATACACCATTCAGTTAGTTATGTTCATGTCACCGAGCAACAGAAAATATATCTGTATTTTCTAACTTGCTCACTTTTACAATTTAAAGGGGCACTCCAGCCCCCATAAAGCACTTTAGCTTGCTGAAAAGATTGATGTGCGAAGAGTGTGTCCTCTTTATTTCATTTTGGAAAAAGTGCTGATTTCAACAGAAATTTCGGAAATGTCTCAAGCAATATTCTCTTATCTATGTATTATTTGCACATTATTCATTGCCCATACTGTTGTATGCTTATTATTTGTAAACCTGGAACAATATTTCAACAGCCTTAATAGGTGTCCGCATTGCCTAGTAGGGCAAATAATAAATATACAATTGTTTATTTACTAAAATAGGAATTGTGTCGTGTTACACATTTTAGCCAAAATAGCCAAGCTGGAAAAATAGCTGAATTAGAGAAATTTTAAATGCAGTTCTGGCCCAATATATTCCCACTGTGTAAATAACACCTTCATAAAATAAACGTACACTCGATTACTCGCTAACGTGATTGTTCAGAAGCAAGTTCTCAAAGTTGAGTCGTAACCATGGAAACCAGTAAAATATTCCTCCACTTTTAGAATTTTGACCCAGAATTTCTGTTTATACATAACCCGTTGTGTACAGTGCACCATTCCATGTCAACAAGTCAACCCTACACAAAGTTACAAGTCCTCTCCTACTATTGGAAAATGCTTTAGAATGCTTGCAAATGCTGAAGAATTAGGAAGATTTCATGTTTGTTCTCAAGCTGAAACCTAACATGGACATTAGGCTGCATTTCATTTAATTCTATGGCTATACCTCCTTTATCCCAGGGTTCTACTGATGCTCTTTTTGTTTGGAATGATATGAATGAGCCCTCTGTCTTTGAGTCTCCAGAGATGACCATGCCAAAGTATGTAGTGCATCACCAGAGCTGGGAGCACCGGGATGTCCATAATCTCTATGGCTTCTATCAGGTAAGACTGACTAGTTTAGAAAATAAACTGTGTACGTTGTGGGGATATTTATGGGATAATAATAGTAACAGTTGAGAATTGCCCACTAATTCAATTCTCAGATCCCAAAGAACGTTTATCGTAAGTGAATGTATTTCATATAATAATATCACAATGTATAAAAATAGGTTTTTATTTATAATGACAAATTAATTAATAATAATAATAATAATATGTAACATGCGTGACAATAATCAATGAATATCCAGTATAAAATGATATGCAATACAAAGGAATGGGTATTACGTTTCAATGGCTAAAACAGCATTTCCTGTCAAGACTTTATTTATGACTATCTTTAACACAGACTTAAAGTGAAACTTTTCACAGCAAAGAACAGAATTCCTCAGAGTGCAGCGTAAGGTCGTAAAGTTTGGCAGACAGTTAGAATAACCCTTTCAATGCTGGCTAGATCTCCTAGGTAATTAAGATCTATTCTTATGTAATTTTAAATAAAATAACATTTAAACCAGTTCATTAGTCATTTCCTGGAACCATCCAATAAGAGAATCTACCATGATTATATAAGCAGACTTTGTTTTTAATTTGTCTAAAAGATATCTTATCTTAATTTAGAGCAAATCAATACACCTGGATAACAACAGCAGTATGCTACCACGTGATAATATCACATCAATATATAATTATTCTTAATTCCACCTGCAGAATGGAATGTTTATAACTATATATTCTTTAGTTAACTAAGATTTCTTAATATGGAAATCTGACCGTGCTTTATCCAGTCATATATAATGCTATTAATACATTTTAATTAATTTAATTAATTAAATGAAACCAGTATAATTACCAGTTGAGTAGATATTTCATCCGATTGGTAGATAGTTTTAGGAACCTATTTGGATTTCTCTCTGCATGGAGGTGTGTAGATAATAGTGAAAGGTGGTGTTGGTTAGAAAGTCAGTAAAATTCTAAGTGTTAGAGTTTTCAGAGTAGAGTGTTAGTCTCAGATGTTGTGAGTTGGAGTCCCCAAACTTCCAATTCCTCTCTCCTCTTTTTCCTTCTCCTTTGCCTCTCTTGCATATCTCTATCTTCCCTTTGTCTTAACTTTTAAAGGGCCAGACTCTCTGTACGTCATCAGTTGATAACCCAATAGAAGCACTAGAGGTGTGGTTATCTTCCAGATCGCAATTTAGGTATTTGGTCTGTAGAGGGCAGTCTTGTCCCACTAAACATACCTATCCAGGAAAGAGTTAACTTTTCCTGGTGGCTATTTTGACGTCATTTTGGCCTATCTAGATAGTGGCCATAACTTACGTATCCTTCAAAGATCAAAGGGTTTCTTTAAGTTTTGTCCAGACTGTGTGTCTGGCAATCTGAGTTTTGACCCGTAACTTACAATGGGACCTTATATGTATAGACAGTTAAATTTTATTATTTAATCTTCTCTGTCACAATTGTCTGGGTTTAGAATTGATTATATTCTTCTTATCACTTGTTTATACTATGCATTCCTTTTAGCTCTGACAAAGTGGCTAGTCTTACATAAAGAAATCTAGTGTCTTTTTGTTAACTTGAAAATAACAAAATGGAGTCTGGTCTGTTCAGAGTGACTCAGAATATACACTTTTAATTTCTATCATAGCACAAAATGTCTGCCGATATAAATACCCTGACAACGTGGCTGTGAACAAATTGGCTAAAAGGTGCATTAAACTTGGTTTGCAACCTGAATTCTTTATAAATTATTATTGTAACACATTATTTAGAGCATATTATTATTTTCAATTAATCAAAATTGTGTAAATTGAGCCATAATTCCCTTTTGAATTTAATTTTGTTTTCCATCATGGAGATAGCCATTTTAGAATTGGATTTAAATATTTAAAACCTCAAATACAATTACAGCAAAATAAAATGCAATAGAAAACCTCTATGGCCAGCAGCCACTCAGAAGAAAGATTTCTTCAGTTGAGCTGATTATCTCCGAATTCCACTGTGCATGGAAGAGAAGTGCATTTAAAAAAAAAAAAAACTTTTATTTGTTTGATTTAAAAAAAAAAAAGAAAGCTTAAACATATTTTAATAATCCACACAATGTATAGGCAATGACTCTATGATGGATCAATTTACAAAAAAAAAATGTAAAAAACTAAAAAGTCAAATTTAAACTTTGTGCTTGTACTATGTAAGAAGTGTTTAATTCGTTCAAAGAATTTTAAGATACCTCTGAACAAAGCATCTTTCAGATCTCTTTCTTATAAGCAAAAGCATGCATATCAGAATATCCATGGCTAGGTGCATGCCACGTGTCACAGGTTGAGCATTCCATACCCTATGCTCTTCTTTGTAATTGTTTGGCACACTGAACACCGGAATTGCATTGACTCGCAAGGTACAGTAATGAGTGATCAATATTCACTCTTATAATGTGTGCTACACACATAAGCTAAGCCACAGCGAAATATAGCAGAGCAATATAAATAACTGTATGATTAGCCATTGTGCAAAATCACCCCCAGGACAGAACATCGAGGAAGAAGAATAGGCAACATGACCAGAGCGTTCAATTCATTCTCAGTCTCATCACTGAATTAAAGGATTTTAATAGGTCAGACTGATATTTGATCTAAGTACATCACCCCTACATTTTGTATAGCAAAGTCTTTAACTTATATGTATAGATATACCATGTATTTGAGATGTGGAATGATCTATCGGGTGGATTTTAATTTTTGTTAATGCAACCTGTTGATTTATCTGCATTGTATGTTATTTTAATGTCATGTAACATACAGTGCTAATGTATTTATGCTCAGTTTTTTTTTACCTCTGGTATCAATTGCCAATACAATAAACATTTATTGAACACAAATATGGGTATACAAGACAACAATAAATTAAAAATAAAATAAATAAACTAATTTGCATATGTAACTCACCTTAAAGCTCTTGTTAAATAGCAAATGTCCACTTCAGAGGGCTTGATTCGGCGGTCTGGAGGTCAGGAACGACCCTTTGTACTGACAAGATCTTTTTTTGCGGGTTCACAGAGATATGGTGAGTTTGACCATTTTCACATAATATGCGGAAATAGCTCATCACATGGTGGCACCAGTACTGCAAAAGGTGGCATAAATGTGAAGAATAATTGGACTGTTCTAGATTTTATATAACTGTGTGGGTTAAAGGGACACTCCAGACACCCAGACCACTTCTGCCCATTGGAGTGGTCTGAGTGCCAAATCCCACTATCCTTAACCCTGCAAGTGTAATTATTGCAGTTTTCACTTCCGTGTTTATAGCACATGAAAAGTGTGCTATAGCGTCGCTGGACATCCTCACGCTATGTGAGGACCTCCAGCGTCACTGAAATCCCCATAAGAAAGCATTGAAAGCATTTCTCAATGCTTTCCTATGGGGAGGTTTAATGCCACGCATGCTCAATAGGTCTCCCCCGCCGGATGGCGTTGGTGGGGGAGGAGTGTGGGCGGACCCTAAACCAGCGCCGAGGGACATCGGCGCTGGATACAGGTAAGTCACTGAAGGGGTTTTAACCCCTTCAGCAACTTGGGATGGGGGGTGGGAGGGAGAGGGGACCTGCAGTGCCAGGAAAACGGTTTGTTTTCCTGGGACTGGAGAGTCTCTTTAAATGGAATCTGAGACTTAACATGTGGAAATAAAGAAAGTGATTTTGAATGACTGGGTGGGAGAAGCAAGGAGACAGAGAAGGAAGGGGGTTTGGGATGTGAGAGCGTCAGTCACTAATGGGACAGGTTTTAGCAAGATTAGAGAGATGGTCATTTTCATGACCAGGGTCTCACACCGTATCAGAGTGTGTATCAGAGTTTTGGAGCTGATCAATGAGTTTTTGTTATGCTGTATATGTATCAAATCTTTTATAGAAGTGCAAGAGATTCTAGCAGTGCTTAGCAATATGTGAGCTGCAGTGCAGATTCTGTGATATAGTTTCATAGAGGGCCTGGGGGTGTGATGACATAACCTTTCTCTTTCACAGATTTATTGAAAAATCAGTAAATAAATGTTTCTTACTGAATCATGTCCTCTGTGTTCTTTGATCAGACTCTGTCTAAATACAGAATTCTTCAGCTGAATATGATTCACATATTGAAATGTTTGCAAGAGTAAAAGAAAAGAAATGTTAATTTTAGGGGTGGAGATGAAATGTCGCACCTGTTTGTTTTGTTTTTCCTTCCTTTTTATTGTTTCATGTATCTGCCTTATGTCTGTGTTTAGAAAACATATGTCTTCTGTGTTTATATAGTTATTATTTTTTTTCTTAATTGTTTATGGAAAGAAATCCTAAAACAGGATTTAACATATTTCAGGTGCGGTTTGGACTGGAGACAACAAGGCAGAATGGCAATATCTTAAAATCTCGATTCCTATGCTTCTCTCCCTTAGTGTGGCCGGTATTTCCTTCTGTGGAGGTAAAAGACACACATGTACCTCTTGATTATATGTAGACTGTACAAACAAAGGATTATGAGTAAAGACTTCACATTCGCACACATGAAGCAACCGAGCCAGTAAAATCACTGTACGCTATGTCAAACAGTGCAGGCTCAATGAAAATGTCACAGTTATGAGAGATAAGTGGGAGACTGTGATCTAATACATGTTAGGTCTCACAACCCAATTCAGGTAAACTTAATTAGTATATTTTGTAATGTACATATGTATATGAGTGCATATGTAAATGTGTTCCATCGGTGTACATAAATTTACTTTTTGTTGTTGTTAATATAAAATATAGGATTCAAAACCAAATATTTCCACACCTCTCCCCAAAAGTCTATATAAAAAAAAAAGATGCCTTGAAATATTCAATAGGGGGGAAACACATACTTCGAAATGTCCTGTTTATGAAACAGACCCTCAGCATTGGCTATTTCAGCAGAGACCAGGAAATTACCTCTAAGCCTATCCAGGTCATCCCATTGTTAGAAATGCTGAACCAATGCGATATGGGACATATATTAAACACAACTTGTAGTTTAGGGGAATTGTCGTGCACTTCTCAGCGTATTGTTAAAAGCTCTACTCTGCTTATAGAACCTGGATGATAGTAAGTTTTGAATAAGTAAACAAAAGAATGTGAATGAAGCTAGTTTTCCAAGTTTAACAGAAGCATTTGGGCAGCTTGTATTAATTTGGACAAATTTATTCATTAGGGTTTTCACACTACGTATTAGTCTCTCTTCCATGTAGGTTGCAATGCTGCTGCCCATCCCATGTGTTCCCTTTTTAGGGTTAATAAGCATGTAGGGATGTGTATAAAAAATATCCCTTTTTGTCTCATTAGAGATATTTTTGCCAGAAGCTCAAGGAAGCAAGGCGAATGATTAGAGTTAGAACCCACCTAAGAGGTCTGCCTTGACGTGGCAGGTGGGCATACCCTTTCATGGCCATTGGAGGTAACTAAAAACCTCCATTTGTTTAAAAATACATAGGGATGTGGAAAGAGCACAGGTAACTTTTTATCTTTGGTTTTTACTATATGTATTTTGGCTGATGTGTACTATAGTCAATGCTGCTGCCCAGGAGTAATGGGAGTTTGAGCGCAGGACTAGTTTCTTTGTATTTGCTTCCATGTACATGTAGAGTTGCTGTACAGCTCTGTCGATGTAGGCTTTTAAAGCGCTGTACATATAATGCAATTCTCAGACAGTTCTTGCTCTGTCTGGCGTGCATTCCATGGATTAACAAGCAACATACAAATGATTCCTTATACTTCTTGCTATTTTCACAGCTGATGTTGGCGGCTTTGTTGGTGACCCAGAACCTGAGCTCCTTGTCCGATGGTATCAGGCTGGCTCCTTCCAACCATTTTTTCGTGCTCATGCTATTCGTGACAGCAAGCGCCGTGAGCCCTGGCTATTTGGTGAAGGCAATACTTTGTTGATAAAGAAGGCAATAGAGGAGCGATACACTTTGCTTCCATACTTGTACCTACTTTTTTACCGGGCACACGTGTCTGCTGAACTGGTGATGAGGTGAGCTTTCCTACCAGTACCTTTAGTTAAAGCAATGTCTTCTATAACTGCCCACCAGTAAAATAACTTGTTTCTTTGCATTACTCACAGACCCTTCTGGGTAGAATTTCCCAAGAATCCCGAAACATTTGGAGTGGAGAGCCAGTACATGTTAGGTAAGATTTGAAGGAAAAAAATTACAACAATGTAATGGATTTAAGACCATAAAGTTCCTGCCAATAACTTCAGAGAGAGGAGAATGTCTGTTTCCTGTGGGTGTAGCTTTGTCTTGCTTGTGAAGTAATCTAAAGTCCTTGTTGAGAAATTGATGATGTGTCTTGTGTCAAATGTAGTCTCTGTAATTTGAAAGGAAGAATAGAGTTGATTGGAGCAAGACAGTTGTACATAGGACTAGACAAGAATTCAATTTTTGCAACTTTCAATTCTATGATGTAAAATCCATTTTATTAAACAAAAAGCAAATGACAAACTTAATCGAATACAAAGCATGTCTCTCGCAGGTAGTGCTCTGATGGTTGCCCCAGTTTTGGTTCCTGGAGTTTCTTTTCTAGATGTGCTGTTTCCTGGCCCTGGAGAGGTATGATGTGGATATCCTATCAGATGCTTACTAAAGATTCTCTAGTAGCAGGGTGTACTAAATTGGAGATCTTCCACTCTAGCTGGACAAATTGTTTTATTTCAAGGTATAACACGGAAAACATGAGCTTCTGTGCAAAGTCAAGAAATCACAAATGGGTACTTGTCCAGGTTATTCACCAATTTATGGAATTCAAAGTGAATTTCAACTTTTAATAGCCACAACTAAAAACATAGCAAACTTGGAGATTTTTTTTTTCCAGCTATTTTGGTGTAAAATTTGATTTTACACCAAATTCCCAACAATGCCAACTCTATAATAAATGCACTCATGCACAAACATACACACAGTTTACTATGTTTGCGTTTTGTATAAATTGACCATGTCGACAGCACCATCACTATTAAGAAATGCATTTTAAGGGTTGTAACATCAGGAACTGTGCAAAACTTTTTTTGTTTTTTTTTCCATTACCCGTTTTATGAGGAAAAAAAAGTGGATTTAGCTTTAATTTTATTTATTTAGATTTAAAAATAAAATCATGTAATTTTGCAATGCAATGATATGGTTACGGTGCCCTAAGTTCAGTGGCACTTTCTTACCTTTAAATGCTGATCCGTTTTGTAACGGTTTAAGACTTAAGTGGAGTTCTCGTCTCATAGTCTTTGTAAATGCAGAAGCTCTCAGCAGCTCATAGCGAGTAGTGCTTTAGAAAATACATACTTTTCTGAAGCACAATATCTGAACTCCAAGCAACATAATCAATTCATAGTTACATAGTAGTGAAGGTTGAAAAAAGACTAAAGTCAATGAAGTTCAGTTTGGTCACATGAAATGCTTTTGGTGCCCAGAGTGGTCCTTTAATTTATCCTAAGCTAATGTGCTAGATATGCATTCCTAATACATATAAATGTATATTTATTTATTTAAAGGATCACTATAAGTTCAGGAACACAAACATGTATTCCTGACCCTATAGTGTTAAACCCACCATCTAGACCCCCTGGGCTCCTCATGCTTCCATAAATATAGCAAAATCTTACTGTATTCAAGCCTGAAGCTGTAGATCTGCATGCTGTTTGCCTCAGAAAAACAAGCTGTCTGCTGACATCATCAGAAGTGGTGGCCTGATCCAATCACAGTGCTTCCCCATAGGATTGGCTGAGACTGACAAGGAGGCAGATCAGGGGAAGAGCCAGCATGATTTAAACACAGCCCTGGCCAATCAGCATCTCCTCATAGAGATGAATTGAATCAATCAATCTCTATGAGGAAAGTTCAGTGTCTGCATGCAGAGGGAGGAGATAATGAATGTTTGGATGCATTTTAGGCAGCCATGACCAAGGAAGGATCAATAACAGCTATCTGAGGAGTGGCCACTGAAGTTATCCTTAGGCTTTAATGTAAACACTGCATTTTCTCTAAAAAGACAGTGTTTACAGCAAAAAGCCTGAAGGTAATGATTCTACTCACCAGAACAAATTCAATAAGCTGTAGTTGTTCTGGTGACTAGTGTCCCTTTAAATGAACTCTGTAATGAAGAGATTAAAAAGGATATATGGTACCCGGACAACTTCTCTGATCCACTCTTTTATGCTCTAATTTTTGTCATTCTACAGCTCTGGTATAACTTCAGAAATTACAAGTGCATCAAGGGGCAGCGTAAACAGAAAGTGGGTGTAACTCTGGATGAGGTGAGTGAGGCTCACACATTTTTACTTTTAATTGCTTTAGAATGTTTTATTATTATACATTAGTATTTTAAATCAAATTATTATCTATTGTGATGAGGTAAACAGCACAAGTTATTAAGTTTACATATGAAGTATGATGTATGCACCCTTACATTTCGACTAGTTTTATTGTGGTTGTTCCTATAATGCTGGGGTGCCCAAACGGTAGATCCCTAGATGTAGTAGAACTACAACTTCCATGAAGCTTTGCATGACTTTAGAATGCCATGGCATCATGGAAGTTGTAGTTTTAAAACAAACACTAGTGTTCTTCTACCTTTTAGGCATTCCTGCTATAAAGCCATTTCCTTGATTTGCAGATCCCAGTTTATCAACGAGGTGGCTCCATTATTCCCATGCACACAGCTGTAGGCAAGTCAACAGGCTGGATGGAGGAAACACCATATAAGCTGTATGTTGCTTTGAACTCAAAGGTACATTTTACCCTTTTTCTAATATGATCAATGTCCTAATCATCAGGGCTTTTTTGTTCATAATTGCGCCTAGTTACAGTACTTTTAAAATTCATCATTTACATAAAATTTCATTTTTATTGAAACTTGTCCCAGGAAGTGACCTGTGGCGAAAAAACGGTTGTTAGCATATTTCCAAGAAGGTTCAAAAGACACTTGTTTTGATCTGTTTTGCATTGTAGTGTAATATATCTATAACAAGTCTGTTTGTTTGTGTTATTAAAACATCATATTGTATTTGTTGCTTTTTGTGTATGCCTATTATATAAATAAATTAATCACAAAAGACAAAGGGACACTATAGTCAACTACAGCTTATTGTATTTGTTTTGGTGGGTGTAATCATTACCTGCAGGATTTTTGCAGTAAGCACTGTATTTTCAGAGAAAAGGCAGTGTTTACATTACAACCTTGGGACACCTCCATTGGCCACTCCTCAAATGGCTACTAGAGGTGCTTCCTGGGGAAGTGCTGCTCTCCACGCTTTTCTATGGGAAAGAATTGTGATTGGCTGGAGGGGGTGGGGGTGAGGCAGAGGGGCATTATAGTGTTTTTAACACTTTAGGGTCAGAAATACATGTCTGTGTCCATGACCCTATAGTGTTTCTTTAACATGGTATGTTTCTTCTTTTCAAAGGGTTCAGCTTCAGGAGAGCTCTATGTAGATGATGGACATTCCTTCAAGTATCAGCACGATCGAATGTTCATTTACAGGCATTTTACTTTCCAGAAAAATGTCCTGTCGTGCAAGTAAGTGCAACAACCTTGATTAGTTGTTTAACTAGTTTCAGTTCACCTTATTGTATGCTGTTAACTTGTAAACGTATTCACTTATCATTGTGTAAACCATGCTGAATCCTATCACTGAATTAATTCATTTTACAGGCATATCACCATATGTGTCAAAGATGAATTCCCCATATAAGTAATGTAACTATATACCTAGAGCTGCAGTCTGGCTGCAGTTAATCACATCTCCAGCAGAGTACAGACCTGCAGTTTACAAAAATAGTAGGCCTGAAGAATGGTTTGTTTATTCCCAGTTTTACATGACTTTCTTTTTAATAATACTGCATTTGGGACATCAAGGATTAGTTGGTTGAATCATTCTAAGGCTCTGCTGCACATGACATCTTTAGTAATACGTATAGCTCTGTTTTACAATATTTTGTTGTAACAAGTGGCCAACACAGTAGGGAACACAGTCATTAATTCACACATACAGGGCAATGTTGGCTATTGGTTATATAGAGCTTTTCACAAGTAGTGAACAGGGTAACAGAAAGTGTATTGCACCATCAGTGCATGCACCTTCCCATTTTGTTAATAGGAAACTCTTTATTCAGTTTGCCCACTCATTACCAGTTAATTTTTATGGCCAGTTAACTCATTAATTGCTTCTGGGTATTGAATAAAATCTGGAGTAGTTTATTAAATTTAATATTAAAATATGGGGGATGAAGGGCAAAACTCAAGTCCCTTTTGATTTGTGCAAAGCCATGTCACCTAGACATCCCTAAAGTCTTGCCCATATCAGCTGGAAACAAGGGAAGTCAGCATACATAAATATCTTTAGAGTTTACAAAGTGTTCGATATTTTAAGTACATGTAGAACAGTGATGCACATTTTAAAATATTTAGGAGTATTCTAGTCACAACAAAAAAAAAAAAACTGTGTCCCATTTGCCATGTCCATCAGGTCTGCCGAAAACACGGGGCATTTTTCTAGAGAGTGCATCCTGAAGAAGGTGCTGGTTATGGGTCTAAAGAAAATGCCTTCTGAGGTCAACATCATCAGTCCAGGTAGGGAATTCCTATTTATAAGGCTTACAAAAAAGCATTCTGATCTTGGAGTTTTTTGGGTTTTTTTTTTTTAGTAGATCTACTGTTTGCCAGTTTATTTTAGTGTTCTGAATATATAACAAACCTCCAGGAGAACATATATATGGAAATTATAGCACAAAGGCAGCTCACCTGAAAGATCAATGGCCTGAATTCTGTTTTGCTATCTTATGGGACATTGTTGCTATGAGAGTAAGTAAATGGGTTATTGCAATTATGTACTTTACCTTTAATTATCCTTGGATGTAATAATGCTTGGAAAGCTTGAGCAAGAAACAATGTGTAAGTGCTTTCGAATATGAGTAAGCATTCTAGTGACTGCTTTGAACGGAATGATAAGGACTTCAAATGTCAGGTAATAATTACAGCACAGAGACATTACAAAGCATTTTTTTTTTTTTTTGAAACAGTAGAAACAGAAAAAAGCACATCAAATAAACATTTGAACACTTTGGAAGACACGTGGTGCTTTTTTTCTACTTTATTAATGGAGGGAGTAAACAAAATTAAGTAACCTCCTGCACACATGTATAAATCACAGGACACACAAACAATAGATGATGTTATGTAGGCACAAGTGATATGCTCATACAGCTTGGGGAGGTGGAAGAGGAGGAGTGGGTCAGTGTTGAGCAACAGCACACATACACATTTTCGTTTTACTCCATGATATAGATTTAATTGCTTTTCCTAAGATTCCATTAGTCCATGTAAAGGCCCGAATGGAACCAGCATGTAAATATCAATGCTTCCTGGTTCTTTGCCAAAAGACTTTTCATCAAGTGAACTATCTCCCTCCATCCATCCTGAAATGTTAGAGCCATTTCTTGTGATTAAGGAACAAGGCATGCTGAGGAAGCAAGTCAGTAGGTGCTTTTTGTGTTTGGAATCTGGACCCTTTCTGTAAAAAAAAACAAGGTTAACTTATCTCTAAACCAGCGGCAAGAGGGTGACTCACAACAACTCTGTTTTCCAAGAGCTCAGCAGTGCCGTCAATCCTGTTGGGATTTGGGGACAGGGTGTATACGTAGTAATCGCCGTGATCCTTGAGAGTAGCTTTTCCTTCTGTTTTATGTTGAGTCAAAAAGCAACCAGGAAGAGCATTAACCTGTGTTTCTGACTGACAATTGCTAGGTAAAATATACAACCTCAATGAAAGGGTTCTTTGGTCTTTAAATTAACATTTTTAAAAAAAATGTAAAAGAGGGGACACTGTTAACACATAGAGCACTTCAGAAATGTATGGAACTCCCATCTAGTGCTGAACTACATGTTCCACAATCCTCTATGTAGGGGGTTGCTGAATAGGCTCAGCAGAATCTGTGAAATCAATGTGCCAGGATTGGCTAAGAAGTTTTATTCACTTCCTGGTTTGAGGAAAGCTCGTCAAAGAATATGTAAGTGTAACGGAACTCCCCGTACTCAGAGTACTTTCCGTTGATGGATGCTTCCTAGCTTGCCCCGAGGACCACAAGCACTGCACCAGACATCACAGCTACCGCAGACTCCACAACCGCCGTAGCTTAACTAGAGTCTCGCCGTCTTCCTTCCACCCTGAATCAGCCTCTGTCATCCAGGACCGTGTGGTGAAGACCTTTCCTCCAGGAGAGCGTATCAGGAACAAGTTCTTAAAAGAGCTTAGTGATTAAAGCTCAGGGGAGTATACAAGTATAGCAATCCCCAGTGTGAATACAGCAGTTCCCCTCTAATCACGAGACAAGACTACGTGTTGCGGGTCAAGAAGATCTCACTCGAATGAGCATTTATTCCTGCTTATATACAAGTTTCCCAGCAAGGTTACCACCCACGTGGACCTTGTGGGGCACTGAAACTGTAAACTTTGCAACCAATCACGTACAGGCACATAGATAATCACACCCACTTATTACAGTAAGAATCCTCCCCTCTGCTTGGGAGATAATTGAGTTAATTAACTCAATTATCTCCAAGTTAAAACATATTTTTATACAATTTTTATAACTTTGCGAGTTAACGTACAATATGAATAAAACTTATATGTTTATAACCAACATAACTTGGGGATAAACATATCCAAAATTCACTTGAATTTGTTAAGTGGTTCAGGAGATAGGTGGAAGTTCTATTTTGACCGCACGCACATTTTCATGCCCAAAATAGTTCCAGAGATTCAGGCTGTGCGGCTGGTCTATTTCCCATAGAAAAATAACTAAGTCCCATTCGAATGCACGAACGGGCGCCGTTCGTGCAAATAGTCCAGAGAAGGTAAGGGTCAGCGGTGTTCGTGCCGTTTTGTAGCCGATTTCAGTTCCATAGATTTGGCTGCACACACCACTGACCGCGTTCAGCTGAATAAAGACGGCGGCCACCCAGCGGTCGGCAATTTACCTACAGAAACCTCCCAGCCTGGGAGGTAAATTAGCCGCACGCTTCCACTTCTGGGTGGTTCGCCTGTGCAGTAAATGGCTCGGTAAGCCCCAATTACCTAGCCATAAGGGAGAAAGCCATGTAAAAGTTATTTCCACAGTCTGGGGACTCTGGGGACACAGATTTAAAGGGGCATTGTTCCAATTTTCACCATGTCCCAAAAAATGTACTTAAAGGGCTAGCACCAGTCCATGAAAGTCCATAAGCCCCAATAATGGTTTTTAAAGGGCCATACACCCCCGGGCAGGAGGCTGGCAAGCAAGCCTCTCCTGGACCAAGTGGCGAAGGGCACTTCGTCACAGTAAGTTCTGAAGATTTGCAGTAAACACAGAAACCTTGGAACAGATTGCTTTGTGATGTCCAGAGTTGCTATTATTTTCCTGTACTCTGTGTTCTCCCTTCATGCTTAGGCCTTTGGGCTGCATCTCCTTTCCACATTTTCTCTCATATGCACTATCCCGAGGGTTTGTTCATTACATTGTTCTGCATGTCTCTTTTGATGAGGAGTGGTATTGGTTGGTTGTGATGTTTCTTCTCCCAAGGGGACACTGTTATGAGCACACCCAATCTCTGTCTCTCTGACGGCATGCCAAGGAAGCTTAGATTTAAATGAATAAATGGGATTGACAATCCATCCCCATACAGTACCATTCCTGATCTTTACTCATTTCATGTGAAATATATAGAATTACTGCACAGTGGTTTCAATGCAATGTAAGGACTGGCATCCTCTTAAGAGAAGTACTATTATTTTGAAAAGGCAGTGCATTCATAGGCTTTCATCCCAAGTTAGGGGATTCCAAGTACATCATCACTACTTTGTTCTCTAATAAATATGTAAATGATTTACAAATGTCACACTTGCATTCTTCTCCTCACAATGTTTCTACAACTACTTACCAATGTTTCACCTCTGTGTGTTCTACAATAGGAAAGGAGAAGACACAAGTGACCTTCACCTACAGCCACAAGCTGGGTCTACTGACCATGGAGAGTCTTTCTCTGGATGCATCTGCTGACTGGGAGATTCATATTGTCAGCTCCTAATGTTCAAAGATGTCGCTGCTGCTTTTTTTCTTTTAAATTATATTTTTAAAAGTAATTTTAACAAGATGTAATCAATTATTTTTCAAGTTTTAATTAAATTATCTATTTTACAGTAATACTTAAAATGTGGAGCATGGGAAGCAAGTTTTTAGCTCTATTGACTTGTCATGACTCTTTTGGGAGGAGGGAGATTAAGAAAAATTGTTTCATACTTATGGTAATTTTCTTTTTCTGAGCATTATTCATGGCAGCATTTACTCATGGGTTAGCTCCTCCACTTACAGCAGAAAGGGCAGGAAATAGAACTCTAAAATTGGTATAAATAGACCCAACTCCTTCCCATCAGGCAGTCTTTGTAACTAGCTTACCAACTCACAAAGTATATGGTTTGGAACGTTATGCTGCCATATATAATGATCAGGAAAAGAAAATTAAGGTAAGTATGAAACAATTTTCATATTCCTGATCAAACATGGTAGCATTTACCCAATACCCAAGCAGTATATAAATATAGAGGGAGGGGCATAGTTCAAATACAGTTAGTAGTTATAGAAAACATAATTGACCATAAGAGGGAGGGAGGAGAGAAGACAGATGGGGAACAGGCACATAGCTGGGTGACAGTGGGGCGAGAAAGCAGGGGGGGAGGGAAGAGAAAAGGTTTAGCTAGTCCTGATCTCATGCAGCCTAACAGATTTGCCCGTTTGAGTGAGGATGTTGGGAGCATCAGCTCAGGAGTAGCTGTACTGCAGGAAGCTGTTCCTGCTAACAGCCGTGGAAACAGCCCCTCTACTACAGGTGGGGTTGAGAGGGTAAGGAATCTAGACAGGTTGTGGTGGTAGGGGACTCTATTATTAAGAGAGTAGATAGGGTAATCTGCCACTCTGATCGACTCAACCGGACAGTTTGCTGTCTCCTGGGTGCTCGGGTCCGGCATGTTGCCGACAGAGTGGAGGGATTATTGGGAGGGGCTGGAGATAACCCAGCTGTCATGGTCCATATTGGTACCAATGACAAAGTCAGAGGAAAATGGAAGGTCCTAAAGAATGAGTTCAGGGAACTAGGAAGTAAGCTTAAGAAAAGGACCTCCAAGGTAATTTTTTTTCAGAAAAATTACCTGTGCCGCGCGCTACAGCAGAAAGGCAGTGGGAGATTAGAGAGGTCAATGCGTGGCTAAAGTCTTGGTGCAGGAAAGAGGGTTTTGGGTTTTTAGAACACTGGGCCGATTTTGCGCTTGGGTACAACCTGTATAGTCATGATGGATTGCACCTAAACGGAAGAGGGTCTGCTGTGCTGGGGGATAGGATGGCTAGAAGGTTGGAGGAGATTTTAAACTAGTGGTAGGGGGGGAGGGTCAAAGCAATCTAGAAAATGGAGACAGGATGGAAAGGAGATGGGCTTTAGCTCAGAACAAAGGGGGTGGAGATGGGGGGATGGGAAAACTCAGAACAGAGGAGGTATGTAATACTGATAATTCACAAAAAGTACAAAAGACTCGTGATAATATTAAATGTGTGCTTACTAATGCAAGGAGCCTATATAACAAAATGGGGGAACTAGAGGCAATAGCATACACTAAACAATATGATATAATAGGCATAACAGAAACATGGTGGGATGAGACACATGACTGGGCAGCTAACTTAAATGGGTACACGTTATTTAGGAAGGATAGGAAAAACAAGAAGGGTGGTGGGGTATGTTTATATGTCAACCATGAGTTAAAGTCAAATCTTAGGCATGTGGAGTGTGACGAGGAAAAGGTGGAGGCTTTATGGGTAGATATCTACTTGGGGCAAACGAAGGGAAATCAATTATTGGTTGGGATATGTTATAAACCACCTAATGTAAATATTAATGAGGAAGAACAGCTGTTAGAGCAAATTGAGAAAGCTGCAAATCGAGGTAACACGTTAATTATTGGAGATTTTAATTATCCAGACATAAATTGGGAAAGACGGACTAGTACTTCAGCAAGGGGCATTAGGTTTTTGAATGTGTTAAATGACACCTTTATGGCAGAGTAAGTGATGAGAACCGCACCCAGTCCCAACGGCCAAGGGTGCTCCAGAGCAGGACCAGCAATCCCAGTACAATAATCCAAGAGGAAAAAACTCACAGGCACTCCAACTTCAAGCCGCAGGCAGATTTATTATGACAGAATGCAACGTTTCGACCGGAAAAAGACCTTTCCGGTCGAAACGTTGCGTTGCATTCTGTCATAATAAATCTGCCTGCGGCTTGAAGTTGGAGTACCTGTGAGTTTTTTCCTCTTGGATTAAATGACACCTTTATGTCACAACTGGTACAAGCACCAACTAGAAAGGATGCTTGTCTGGATCTCGTTATAACAAACAATGTTGATCTTTTAACCAACATTCAAGTAGGGGAGCATTTGGGAAATAGTGATCACAATATGGTAAATTTTTAAATAAACTCAAAAAAGCAAAAGCAAGTGGGGTATACTAAAACATATAATTAAAAAAAAAAGCCAATTTCAATAAGATTAAGGCAGCTCTACAATATATCGACTGGCATAAACTCCTTAGTGATAAAAACACTGAGGATAAATGGAAACTATTCAAACAAATATTAGAAAGGTACATTTCTCAGTATGTACCATTGGGTAATAAATATAAAAGAAACAAATTAAAACCAATGTGGCTTAGTAGAGAAGTAAAACAAGAGATTACAAATAAGAAAAGGGCATTTAAAGCATTTAAATCAGACAAATCAAAGGCATCCTATTTAAGATATAAGGAAGCCAATAACGCTTGCAAAAAGGCAATTAAAGTGGCTAAACTAGAAAATGAGAAATTGATAGCTAAAGAATGCAAAACCAACCCCCAATTTTTTTTCAAGTACATCAATTCTAAAAAAAACAAAAAATGAAAGTGTAGGTACACTTGAAACAGAGTTGGGTTTATTAGCTAATGAAGACCAGGAAAAAGCAGAAATTTTAAAAACCAAATAAGCCTTATCAAAAGCCAAAAAAGAATCAATAGGGTATTGTCATAATATCTGCTCAGACAAGACATTGTACCCCAGAGATTGTTGGTCAGCAACCCCTGGTATTTAAATATAGGGAATATCCTGGAGAATTATAGTGTCAGGTTAGAATTAAGGTCATGATAACCAAACCTATAACAGGAACTCTAGACGCATACAAGACAAATGTCAGATATCCGTCTTCCATATGTCTTACTATGGAGAACCTCCTCAAAACCTAAAGGCACAGCCTAGAAATTATAAACATATTTTGGCAAAGACAGAAGTTAATGTCTTTCTGAAATATAGATGGAATAACCAATGGATGACACTTTAAAATCAGAACCTTATTAAAGACAAATTCCAGATACCAGTCTGGAACAAGCTCTGAAATTCCAGACATTGCTGAATGAAAACAGTCATATCCGGCTATCAAACAGGGAGCTGAAAATCCCACCATTCTCTGGATGTATGTATTGATTAAAGACAGAATTCTCATTGCTTTGTTTTGCGAACTACTAATCTGTAGCTACAGCAAATAACAAAACAATATCCGCCTTTAAGAACAGGCAGAGTGTAGTAGAGAAATAGGACAGTATGCTATTAAAACACTGCAACAATAACTGCATATTGCAAATATCAGACTCTCACCTTCATCTCATACTGTAAATGGGTTGTTTGATACAGTAATGATAAATTAGAGGAGAGGTAAAATCCAATAAAACAAATATTAGATATTACTAGGCAAAGGCAAGAAGGAGCACATCATTCAGATTAGTTGTGAAAGAATACCATGATGAACCATAGAAAATGTGGCAACTACTAATATGAGTAGGAAATGTAGGCCAACAACGGCGAGACATACATTCAAAGGTATAAATAGTAGGAATTATAACACATGTTAGAATCAAAATGAAGAGACTGATGCTTAAAGGGACACTATAGTCATCCAGACCACTTCAGCTCAATTAAGTGGTCTGGGTGCCAGGTCCCTCAGGTTTTAGCCCTTCACCTGTAAACATAGCAGTTTCATAGAGAAACTGCTATGTTTACATTAGGGGTTAAGCCAACCTCTAGTGGCTGTCTTCCTGACAGCCGCTAGAGGCGCATCTGCAATGCTGGATGCGAATTTCGCATCCATCACGCAGAGCGTCCATAGTAAAGTATTGAGAAATGTTTTCCTATGGACTGTTTGGACATGCGCATTCCGCTCCAGTCGGGAGCTGACGTCGGCAGTGGAGGAGAGGTCACCAGCGCTGAGGAGCCCTGTGCTGGAATAAGGTATGCTGCTGAAAGGAGTTTTAACCCCTTCAGTGCCACAGGAGGGGGACCCTGAGGGTGGGGGCAAAACAACCCCACATACTTACGCCGACCTTATCTTCAGATAGTGCAGAAGGACTTACGGCAGTCATTGGTGATGTTAAAATCCTACTGCAGCTTGTTTTATCTGTAAATATAGTGGCACCAGTACAAGCATAAAATTCACGAATATTGCATCAATATGAGAATATGAACGTCACTTACATGGACCTAGGTACAGAGACCATGTGAAAAATATCAGCCAAATGTTTGTCACAAAAAGGCTACAATATTATATTATATTATATTATACAGGATGACTCCTCAACTTAAAGCCACATATTGGCTGTAAAGTCAAGATAGTAGGACACCCAGATGAATTCCCTTGAACATCAGAACTTGCCAGAAGTAGTGTGACTTCATGTTCAGATATTTCCCTTATTGTTCTGGTATCAAGTGAAATATTCCATGTTTGATTTAACCTGGTAGAGTTGTTTGGGGACTAAATTGACATTCCACTGGCAATTACAATACTTGCAATACCCAGCATCAATATTACATGGTGAATGTAAGCCTAAGAGAGAAAACCTTATTACAGAAAAGAAATTATATTGTTCCACCTGACAAAGCATACAATAATTTAAGGCAGGGGTTCCTAATTAATTTTTCCTGTGGAACCCTTTGACATAATGCACTAACAACATGGAACCCCAAAATTGTTTTGCCGCCGTAGCGCAGATAGTAAACAGATAGTAGTACTTAGGAGCGGTGTGCTTTTGTGTGTACAGTTGGTGTTTGTATATAATGTTAAAGTTTTGATACAGGGGTGTGTTTGTATGTAATGTTTGTATTTGCATGTAGGGGTGTGTTTGTATGTAACGTTTGCATTTGCATGCAGGGGTGTGCTTGGATGTAGTGTTAACTTTTAAATGCGGATGGACATTTGTTTGTAGCAAACATGTTTGAGTGAAGGGTGTGTTTGAGTGTTTGTATATAAATTAGAATCCAGGGGTTTTTGTATGTAATGTTTGTGTTTGCAGGTTGTGTTGGTGTTTGATTGCTGGGATGTATGCATATATACATGTTTGATTGCTGGGATGGTGTTTAATTGCTGGGATGTATGCACATATGATTGCTGTAAGTATGTCACGTACAAACATACATATGTACATACGTACGTACATACACAAACAAATTAACACAGAGACACACAAAAACATTGACACATACACACACAGACACAAACATACACACACAGACACATGCACAGACCTTGACACACAGATACACACTAGTACATACAGACATACACCCTGTTCCAAATTATTATGCAAATTATATTTTTCTCATTTACCTAAATAATTGATGTAAATAACAGTCAGCATAATTCTCATGTTATCAACTATTAAAAGTACAATTCAAATTTCATTGAACAAACCTCCTAATGATAACAGTATTTTTTTTAAATATAAAAAACTTACAATGCACTGTTCCAAATTACTACGCACAGTAAGTTTCAAAACACTTTATAGGTTGTAAAGAACTGAAAATTGTCATTTGTTGTGTTTGCAGCATATTTACAGAAATCAAAAGCTATTTCAATCAAACTTATAACAACATTTTAACTTTTTAAACAGGTCACGTTACATTTTAACGTAGGACCCCTTATTTGATAGCAGTTTCACAAGACTTGCATCCATTGAACTTGTGAGTTTTTGGACAGTTTCTGCTTGAGCTGCTGTTTGGATTTAAACTGCCTCCCACCCTCATAGATCTTTTGCTTGAGGATGCTCCAAAGATTCTCAATAGGATTGAGGTCAGGGGAGGATGGAGGCCGCACCATGACTTTCTCTCGTTTTATCCCCATAGCAGCCATTGATGCAGAGGTATTCTTTGCAGCATGAGATGGTGCATTGTCATGCATGAAGATGATTTTATTACGGAAAGCATAGTTATTCCTTCTGTACCAGGGAAGAAAGTGGTCAGTCAGAAACTCCACATGCTTTGCAGAGGTCATCTTTACACCTTCGGGGACCCTAAAGGGGCCAACCAGCTCTCTTCCCATGATTCTGGCCCAAAACATGACTCCACCACCGCCTTGCTGACGTCGCAGCCTTGTTGGAACAGGGTGGCCGTCCACCAACCATCCACTACTCCATCCAGCTGGACCATCCAGGGTTGCACGGCACTCATCAGTGAACAGGACTGTTTGAAAATTAGTCTCATCGATTTTTCTGCCCAATGCAGCCGTTTCTGCTTGTGAGCATTGGTTTGTGGTGGCTGAATAGAAGGTTTATGCACTGTTGTAAGACTCTGGAGGACTCTACACCTTAATGTCTGTGGGACTCCAGAGGCACCAGCAGCTTCAAATATCTGTTTGCTGCTATGTAATAGTATTTTAGCAGCTGCTCTCTTGATCCGATGCATGGATCTGGCAGAAATCTTCCTCAATGTGCCTTTATCTGCACGAACCCATCTGTGCTCTGAATCAGCCACAAATCTCTTAATAGTGCGATGAACACGCTTAAGTTTTCGTGAAATATCTAATGTTTTCATACCTCGCCCAAGGCAGTGAACTATTTCACTCTTTTCGGCAGCAGAGAGATCCTTTTTCTTCCCGATATTGCATGAAAATGGTGTTTAATAATGTGGAACACCCTCCTTTAGTAGTTTTTCCTTAAATTGGGCTCACCTGGCAATCTAATTATCACAGGTGTCCGAGATTGTTTTCAGTGATCAAAAGAGCCCTGAGACACAATGCCATCCATGAGTTAAACTGAAAAAATATTTAATGTTTGTGACACTTAAATAGAATTTGCATAATAATTTGGAACAGGGTGTACACACACACTCAGATACACACAGTGACACATACACAAGCCTTGACACACACATACATTCTCAGTGACAAACACACACACACACACACACACTCACTGACAAGCACGCATACAGTCTCACTGACAAACACACATACACACTTACTGACAAGCACACATACACACTCACTGACAAGCACACACACACACTATCAGTGACAATCACACATGCACTCACACTGACAAGCACACATACACACTCACTGACAAACACACAAACACTTTCAGTGACACACACACACTCACTGCCAAACACACGTACAAACTCCTTTACAGACACACACACAATTTATTTTTTAGAATTTCACTCCACCCAGCCTCCCTACTTTTGGGAGTGCTGGCATTGCATCTTCCTGCTCAGCTCCCTTGCATGCCTCTTAGTGATGCTGGGTCCAAAGTGACATCATATTCCGGCTCGAGCATCACTGCGGTGAGGGTGCTGAGCAAGGGGAGAGTGCTCCCTCGCCGCCCGCCTCAATTATCAGCGGCACGCGACCGGCCCAAATCGTGGCGACCATTTTGTTTGAAATATTTACAGCAGAACCACACTTGTGTTTTCGTGGAACACCAATTGGGAAACGCCGCAGTAGGGGAATCCGTGGGAAATTCTGAAACCCAACACCTTAAGAGAATGCCATCCGTGATAAACATTAAAGGGATTGCCAAACATAAGGTCCACAAGGGATCAAATAGCAGAATACTGGTTAAACCAATAGCACACCCTCTCTATTACACAGATTTTGCTTAAGGAAAATTGAATTAATTCTAATGCAATTTGTAAACCAACATCAGTGCACTGAAAACCTGCATAAAAATTTTAAACCAGTAGTGAATTATGCATAAAACAATCTTGCAGATATTAAAAATAATTACTAATGGCCTAGTGATATAAAACACTAGTATTCACAACTTTTGAATCAAAGTCAAATTTAATTTGACAAAGTAAAAAATACCAATGAAAACAGGTAATTGCAGGTGATTGTCAATAAAGAGCCTCAAATGTGCACCTGCAATCAGGAAGATCTACTAAGATCTACAAATTGCATTATAAACTAAGGCTAAAAACTGCCAACAAATTTATAAACATTTATTGTATAGATCAATGAGGAGATGACACCTGGCAATAGAAATAATCCGGTAGGAACGTCTCTCACGTATATGCTGTCATGGTGTGATACCCCAACATGCAGAGTCTAGGACAGCAAGGAAATAACGTATAACCGGGCCTTAAAATGGCCGGATTTAACATGAGACAGAAAGAGAAGTGTATAAAAAAGATGGGTATAAACCCATCTAATGAGGGCGCTACACACTAGAAAAACAGTGTAGTAAAAGCATATACATTTTATTATGCAAAACTTGCAATTATAAATGTTAAAAACATATAAATTAATAACAAACAACAGTATAAGCCAGTCCTATTATGAGACCAGGGAACAAAAGGCCGACAACAACCACTAAGCTGGCAAGTAGACAGATGAAAACACACAACCCTTGGTCGCGACCCCCAGGGCTGGAATATACTTGCAACACGAGCAAGAATGGAACTGCAGTGGTGTCCTGAAGGTCTCTGGCCTGCTAAGCTGCTATTCGGGACTTCCTCAGGAGCCGTGGACGTTCTGTTTCTTCCTCCGGCGTCTCTTCTTAAATCTTCGTGCTCAATCCAGCCCCTGCGCATGCGCACACGGACACTCTCTTCCGTCAAGCCGGCTACGGGAACACCCGTAGACCAAATGCTATCGGGAAGTATTCCGTGCGCATGTGCGGTTGAACCATTGCGCAAAAAACTTTATTGACACCCGAGCACAGATACATCGTAACACTAAACAGTTACATGTATCAGTTGCTCATAACAATCAAGTGTTTTGCCTTTGGACACATCCTTAGAATTTGACACAAACATGAATTATATAAAAAAATATAAAAAAATATTTAAAATATACATTCCAAAAGGAAAAAAGAAAAAAAACATATATATATATATATATATATATATATATATATATATATATATATATATAAATTATAAATACAAAGCAATCTTTTAATATTTAAAACAAAGTGGCTAGTGCATGTAAGGTAGTTTGTGTCAATCCTCACAATCTAAAATCCACTTATAAATACAATACCCTAATGTCTTTCACTTCCAAAAAGGACTATATAGGAAACATAATTTACAGTATCCTAAATAAACATTTACATACAATAGATTCTCCCCATTTATTAGCTAGACAGTGGCTTATACTGTTGTTTATTAATTTATATATTTTTAACATTTAAGTGCAAGTTTTGCATAATAAAATGTATATGCTTTTACTACACTGTTTTTCTAGTGTCTAGCGCCCTCATTAGATGGGTTTATACCCATCTTTTTTGTATATTTGGGATATTGGAGTGTGTTTGAAGAGTGGCAGCTTTTCCATATATAGAACCCTGAATCTGGATCTAATCTTGTTTTGTATTAGAAAGAGAAGTGTGGTCAGTAAGAGCCACGGTCAGGGTAACAGAGAGACAGCGAAAACGAGAACTAGTCAGAGTCAAATACACGGTTATCAGTCAAACAGGCAAACAACACAGGAAAGGGTTAAAGCTAAATGCAGAGTTGGTAACAATGCCAAGGTCAATGCCAGAATATAAAACAATAGCTCAAGGAACACACTAAACGATACTGGGACATAAAGCACAGTGTACAGGGGTAGGGAGGTTTAAATACCTTTAAGTAATATTTGATTGGGCCAGAATGTGTGTGCATGGGGCGCCGGAATGGAACAGACATATGGGAGGCTAATATCACTTGGGGATCTCACTGCCCATAAAAGAGCGTGCTCATGATACAAGCAGCACTTTTAGGCCGCTCGACTGTTCATTACGATCAGCGCACGCGTCCCGTTTAGGAGGAGGAGAGAGCTCAAGCGGCACGCGGCTTGTTTGGAGGATGATCGGGTTTGTTTGGCTCGAGGACCGGGTGAGTAGCGTTACACTTAACTCCACATACTCCTCTCCTGATCATGTGGACATCACTACCTGTAATACCATACACCTCAAATTGGTAACTACCTTTTTAGATTTGAGTTACACTGTCTCTAAGACAGACATCTGATTCTTAATGTGTCCTGCTTTCTGGAGCGAATATTAGACTCTCAGCAGAGAGCAAGAGGTTTTCTGGAAGGCTATGTACTAACTAGGCATAAGACAAATGAATCTCTGTTACAAGTGCACATTGCTCTGAACACAATCAATTTAGCCAGCTAAGGTAATAAAAAACCAAAAGGTTGACAACAGAAAATGCCATTAAGGAGAAAGTGAAAGATTTCTACCTTGTGATGAGAGTTCCCATCAGTGACTACTGTCAAAAATCTTTACAGTCTCTGCTACTTGACATGAAG